TTGTGATAATATCATTTCTGATATATTATGATTTTTTTGTTTGTTTGTTTGAACATTTGAGTGGTGGTAGCAAAGTAGCTTAAGTTGACATTAGACATGATCAATGCCTGATGGGCCACAGAAATGAGATGTAATAGAGACTTCCGACCAATATTAGATGCTTTGGTAATTTATTCTTTGTTTGGCTTTCAGACCATATCATACATGGCAGAACGTGTGGTTGGTACTGGTTCCTTTGGTGTTGTTTTTCAGGTAATTATATGAAAATTTTCATGTATTTGTGGTCAAGTTCTATGATATTGGAGTATTGACATATTGTTCGGTTGTGTGCGCCAATTTGTTTAACAGAAACCGTCTGTTTTGTAGGCTAGGTGCCTTGAAACAGGTGAAACAGTTGCCATAAAGAAGGTTTTGCAAGACAAGAGATATAAGAATAGGGAACTACAGGTTATGCGGATGCTTGACCATCCCAATGTTATTCAACTAAAGCACTGTTTCTTTTCAACTACTGAAAAGGATGAGTTGTACCTGAACCTGGTTTTGGAGTATGTATCAGAAACCGTCTACAGAGTTTCAAAGCACTACATCAGAATGCATCAGCATATGCCTATAATTTATATACAACTCTATACATACCAGGTAAGTCAAGGAACAGGGAGATTATTTGCGCACTCTCTGGTGGGTTCGAGTTTGCATAATTATGCGTGTTAGGATTTTAGTTATTATCTTAGATTTTGTTACTTCTGTCCTTATACTGACTGATTTGCCTCTTCTTTCTTGTAGATATGCCGTGCATTAAACTATCTACACCATGTACTTGGCGTCTGCCACCGTGACATCAAACCACAGAATTTACTGGTAAGATTTTATGCATTTATTTCCTACTATGGTTTCTTTCTCTTTGCACCCGGACCTCGTTTCATGCAAATTCCTGCTATGAGTATTGTAGATCTGGTATTCAAGACGTTTCCGTTGATTAAAGCTTCTCTGAAATTTATTACTAGTAGATTCTTATTTTGTTTTTTCTTTCTTGGTGGGGGGATTGAGGGACATTGATGATAATTTGCATGGTATTGAGCCTAAAAGAAGGGCAAAAGACAAAATGATATTCTATATCCATATTCTTGTTTCTGAAAAATGTGTTGTACGAGTAGATACTTACGTTTGTTGTGGATGTCAATTACGATTTCCTGATTGAGATTATTTTAACACGTCATATTCCTTGAAAGTCATTTCTTTGGCATCAAAGCTTATTAAATTAACTTGTGATTTTATACAGGTTAATCCCCATACTCATCAGCTAAAGATCTGTGATTTTGGAAGTGCAAAGATGCTGGTATGTTGCTTTACTTGAAAATTTAAAATTGTGAAATCTTGTGAATCTCATGAAATTGTTGATCTTTTAGGTGCCTGGTGAACCCAACATATCATATATATGCTCACGGTATTATAGAGCACCTGAACTCATATTTGGGGCTACTGAATATACAAATGCTATTGATATGTGGTCCGTTGGTTGTGTTTTGGCTGAGCTCCTTCTAGGACAGGTGAGCATACGAAAGGCTGTGCAAATTGTCTTCCATAGTTGGTTTTTGATATATGCAAAACCATGGTCATGGTATGTGCTGCATGAAGTAGATATAGTGGATTTAGTTTGGAAGTAAATTTTGGTCATTGAGGCCTTTTCCAGTTCACCGCTAATTAGGTCTTAGAATTAAAAATCACATTTTAGATTGATGTCTTGTCTCTGTCATATTATTTGCAGCCAATGTTCCCGGGGGAGAGTGGAGTTGATCAGTTGGTGGAAATCATCAAGGTACAATCATGTTCTATAGTTTCCCTTACAATTTTTTCTTTACAAGGAAGCTTTATTTCCTATCAGATTTTGTGTCTTACAAAGTTTTTATTATATGCTATAGATATTGGGGACACCGACTAGAGAAGAGATAAAGTGCATGAATCCGAATTACTCTGAATTCAAGTTTCCTCAGATTAAAGCACACCCATGGCACAAGGTTAGTTGTTCTTTATGACGGCAAACCCATCTAAAGGAGAATTCGTTTCATGATTAATGAATGCATCAGATAACTCACCGAATTGGTAACTTCCAGGTTTTTCACAAGAGAATGCCTTCAGAAGCTGTTGATCTTGTATCAAGGCTACTCCAGTATTCACCAAATCTACGGTGCACTGCTGTAAGGAAGTTAATTTTCAGGGAAAAATAATTTAATATGCATGTGTTTGAAATTACGTAACATCAATTCTTGACAGAATCACAAAGTTTGGGAAGGAAAACATAAAGTTATCTTTGGTTAGTCTGATCTCAGTTATTTCTCATTTACAGTTGGAAGCATGTGCACACCCCTTCTTCAATGATCTAAGAGACCCAAATGTATGCTTGCCGAACGGGCGACCTCTGCCTCCTTTGTTTGACTTTACAGCACAAGGTAAATGAATTTTTTTCCCCTCGTCGTCATTTAACAAAAGAACTAATTTGCAACTAATTGGTTATTTTCAGTGATCAAAGTCATGTAATTACTCATAGTCAGGGACTAAGATGAATGGGCCATATAAGTTGGGAAATTTTTTTTTTCTTACTCTGTTAAGTGATGTTTCTGTTGCTTTTGCTGACTGAAAATCAATACAGAGTTGGCTGGTGCACCTGCTGAATTGCGTCATCGTCTTATTCCCGAACATGCAAGGAGTTGAATTGATTATCAGAGTCATCAATACATAACTAGGGAAGAATGTAAATGGGTTTTTGGATGAGTAGATATACCCATAGCAATAATGCTACTGCTTCCTGCCCTATTAGGTCAGATCTCTGTTACCCTGCCTGCAGAATCACATGACTATACATCCTACAGGGAACCTTAGCAACTTGCAAGCTCAGTTCAAGGACCATGTAAAGACCTCCGGTGGGGACAAACTGAGGAGGATTAAGTGGGAACTGCTGTCTCGTTATAGGGTTTCCAGCTTTTAACTTTCTAGTGTAGTTTATGAATGATGTATGCTATGCTGCAATTGTGAAAGATGATGAGTTATTGAAATCTTCTGATCATGTTTAAGTAGGTTCATGGGTTGTTCCTGAGACTGGACTAACTGGGATCGTCATGTGAACTTGCAAATTTTTTCTTTTTTTGGTTTTGGTTTTCTGTATCCTGTATCTGATTTCTGGCACTAGTGAAAGAAAGACACGTATCGAAGACGCGGCGGTAACAAAGGAGCAAAAGGAGGAACGTCAAACTACGAATGGCTTTGTTCTATGACAGAAATAAAGATGCGTACAATAATCACTAAATGCTGAAGCCGCGTGAAATGGGAAGGAATATTATGTTGTCATTAACAGAGTATAAAGACCCAAAAGAGGTGGCCGGGAGATTCAGTTAAAGGAAACATTTAACTGCCAAGAATGGTGTAGGGCGGAGCGGGAGACTTGATTTTTCTTAAGATTTTAGATTTGAATTTTATAAATGGAGAAAATTATGTTCAGTATTGAAGACCCTTTGGTTTAAAAAAAAAATAAAAAAAAAAAACATTTGACCGCTTTGCCGGGTTTGGATTCTTTATAGTTTTATGAAAGCATGGTCCTTATGGATCAATTAATTTTAATTTAACATTTGCAATTTAAATGTCCATTCCAAAGTTATAACCAATAATTTTAATTCATTTAGAAATTTGACAAATAAAAATATATCTTTTACACTTTTCTTTCATTCATATTAAGACCGAGAATATTAGTCTGATACCTAATAGATGATTTAATTAATTTGAATAAATAAAGAAAATAAGTTAAATTGGTTAATGGTTAATTGTAATAAATATCATGTTATGTTCCAAATAAATGGATAAAAAGTTGGTTGAGCTATTATTTAAAAATGTATCTGTTTTTTGTAAACTTTAGTCACAGAAATATCAAAAAGAAAGAAATTTTTTGCTTTAGAGCATGAATATTAATCTATTATATAAACTCCAGCATGTCATTCATTTACAAGTTATTAGCACACGAGGCCAGCATATATTGTATAACTATTCATTAATATATAATAAATGCAAAAATCATCAATGAAATGTATAAAGTCTATAATATAGCATACTTTTAATAAGATATGAACAATTGCCGGCCAAAAGTAAGATATGAACACTATAATTCATTTTCTAAATTCTGTGGTATAGTACATGGAAAAATGTTATATTTTTTTACGTTAATATGTACAATAAAATTTATATATATAGTGAAAATAGTTATAAGTTATATTATTTATAATTTATAAACAGTATAAATTGTTTTACATTATTTTACGTTATTTACATCATATAGTATGTGAAAAAAAATACAAAAGATTACTTAATAAGAACATGACATCTATGCGTAGCGGACAAAATACAAAGTATGAATGTTTTGTATATTTGTATTGGAAGCAATTCTATTTGAGGACTGTTAAATACTAATGGTGGGTATTTCTCCTAATAAAAATTTAAATCTTAATTCGACGTGTTACAAGAAATTAGTTTTTTTTGTTATATCTAACCTCAGCGCTAAGTATGAATCATTCCTGAGAATCCAATTTGTATGTGTGTCTGCATATAAAAAGCCCATCTACTTCTGTTGGACTGAACTCTGAACTCTGAACCCAAACATCACAAATGTCTGCTATCTTATCTGTAATATCTCGCATCTGCATCCGGCGCCAAAAGCCAAGTAAAAGAGAAAATAACGCTAAAAATTCAAGCGAGATATTGATAATAGTTGAAAATTCCCCTTTTAAAATTTAAAATTCGTACAAAAAAAGAGAAATTATTGCAACATCGCGCGGTTTTAAATTTATAAAATTCCAATATTCTTATACTATATTTACCTATAATTTTCTATAAAATATTAATGATAATATCATTAACTTTTTGGCTAACAAATAACAAGATTAAATTAAATTGTAAAAACGTAACGGATTTAACGGTAGCACTAGAGGCGTCTGTTACTGTTTTCCATTTTCCTTTGGGTGAACATTGTTTTCTCGTACAAAGCCACCCGCGCCCTTACAATCCCTTTTGTGTTTGTTTGTACCTTGGCATTGATGCCTTCGCAAACCAATTCAAAGTTTAAATTTGAAAACAAAATTACAAACAAGCACCGATTTTTCCAAAGATTCGATTCGATTCCATTTTTCCCAGATCCTTGAATTGATCCCAAGTTCAGAATCCTCAATCAATCACATTCAATTCAGCATCGTTCTTCATATAGCCTATTTGCTCAATCACACTTGCCTATCATCCATTCATATTTCGTATCAATCTCTGTTTCGTTTATTCAATTTGATCAAAACCTCCTCATATTTCTCGAATCTTTGAATCAGTTCGAGTTTTGAATTTCTGAATATTAGAGTAGCCAAATTTCTTTTCCGGGTGAATTTACATAATGTTAAGTACAACCTCGTTGCCGTCAGCTCTGCCAGATTCCGCCGTAGACCCCTCTCCCCTTCTTCCTTACTCCGTCTCCGATCAAGTGCTCCGACGGACGTCGGGGCCGTTACGGAGCGCGGCGCGGTTCTTCCGGCATGCTAGCGGGCGGCGGATGATGCTCCGGGAGACGTCGGTGCGAGTGCGGGAGAACGCGGCGGAGCAGCTGGAAGCGCGTCAGAGTAACTGGGCGTTCTCGAAGCCGGTGGTGATCCTGGATGTCGTTTGGAACTTGGCGTTTGTGATTAGCGGGATTGTCGTTTTGGGGCTGAGCGTTGAGGAGAAGCCTTCGGTGCCTTTGAGGGTGTGGATTTGTGGGTACTTGCTTCAAGGTGCGTTTCATTGTGTGCGTGTGACTCTTAGGTATAGACGATACATGCAAGCCCAAGCTCGTTCTGCGTCCGAAGAACGGTATGAGAATGGGATTTCTTGGGAAAGAGGTGTAGATTTTAATTCTAGTTCTGGGAGTGATATTGGCGATGCAAATGATTCAGCTGACGGACAGGATCAGGACGGATATAGGTACGCTACTACAAAACTGTAACTGAGTGTTGGATATTGCGTCGATAAGAAATCACTGGATGCCATTAAGTAAGATTGAGTTTGAGTCATGTGAATTGAAGGGAGGGGGGGAAATCATGTGGGAAGAACTAATCTCATTTGGAGTTGACGGTGCTTGAATTTGATTTAGTCTGTAGTATGAAATATGGATGACTAATTATCGCGGGAAAAAAAAGAAGAAGAAATTTGGCCTTTTAAAATGCGTACTGAACTTTTCCTGGCTCACCTTTTTTAAAAATGTATACGGTACTTCCGTTGCAGCATCAGAAAGCGCATGGAATCTGTAAATACCATGTTCTCATTCATATGGTGGCTTCTTGGATTTTATTGGATTACTACAGGAGGCCAGAGCTTGACCCAAGATGCCCCTCTGCTTTACTGGTTAGTCGGAAGTTGTTTAATTTTGTTCTTAATAAGTGACATGTGCTAGTCTAAACCTTCTGTACTTGTAATGAGCAATATAGGGTATAAATTAATGACGCCAAATAAACCACATTTTCCTGACAAGCAACCTGGCAAGTTTGACATTGATTTTAGGATAAGGATAGGAGTGTGTGAGAATAGCAAAAGTAGTCTAGTGATTAAAAAAAAATACAACTGCAACGGTCCAATAGGAATGGTATGGTCTATGAATTCTTTTCGCCGTCTTCCTTTTCCTGTTCTCAATCTAAAATTGCATGGTTGTGGTTTGCAGGCTTTGTATTACCTTCCTTGCTGTCGACATTGTAATTGTTTTGCTCTGCGTGGTTGTGGCATGCCTGGTTGGTATTGCTGTTTGCTGCTGTCTTCCATGCATACTTGCATTTTTGTCAGCGGTGGCGGATAAGGTGAATAAGCTTTTTAACCTTTTTTTATCTTGCTTATATTGTAATTATTTTTAAGATAATGAGGAGCTTAATACTTCTTTCCCTGTGGTTAACAAACAATCCATACATAACCCATGATTTAGAAATATGTTCACTTTGGTTTATTGAAGTGGCTATTTCAGTATGGAGCAAAATTATTTATTTATCATATTGGATTTTAGAAGACTTTAGTGGCTTCATAACTTAATGCTCCATATTTCATTAAGCACTCATCAGCACTAAACATGAAGTGACTTTTTAATGTGGGAGCAGGAAGGGGCAACCAAGGAAGAAATCAATCGGTTGCCGCAATACAAGTTCAGGAGAACTGATGAACATAAGCCTAATGTTGATGGTGATGATGCCGAAGCTTCATCTTGTAAAGGAATAATGACAGAATGTGACAGCGATTCACCAGCAGAACACGTTCTTCCCACGGAAGATGCAGTAAGCTTCCATTGCATTTATTACGAATGCGGAAGATGTGATCTGACCTACATAATCTTGCTTGAAAACACAAAACGCGCCATTTTCGCTCACTACTCCTTGAGTGCTCTAGCCTCCAGTTATTGTATTTAATGCTGGGGATATAGGATACTAAAGTATATTACATCATGGCGCTTAAAGATTCTTATGCTTAGCATGATGATTAAATTTTGAAATATATATATAAAATAAAAAATAGTATATTATATCGTCAAATATTTATGACAACTGCATTTCTATCAACCATGAAGATCGGATCTTATATCCCATGCAGTGATCTCAGATATCATGACTAATCTTGATCTTGTATGTTTGTGAATGTCCATGGTGTATCCGGACAGACGTAGAAAGGAGATGTGAGAGAATGACGAACAGAACAAATATGCCATGCATGATTTCTGACATGAATGTTTGTGATGGATAACAGGAGTGCTGCATCTGCCTGTGTCCCTATGAGGATGGGGCTGAGCTAAGAGAACTTCCCTGTACCCACCATTTCCACACGGACTGCATCGACAAGTGGTTGTACATCAACGCCAACTGCCCTCTCTGCAAGTTCAATGTTCATACTGGAAACCATTCGCAAGTTTGAATTGGAGAAGAGGATGCGTTTTCACATTAGATCATGTGCTTTTTCTCATGCATGCTCTAACCAGCATCATACTGGCACTTGTTCCTGCTATGTATGTGATTAAGATGAGTTTAATATGTAATACTTAGTATGGTTGTAATAATAAATTTAATTTAACGGTTAAAGTAGGAATGCATATGGATGCCTCATCTTATACTCTGGAGCGGAGGGTTTGTTGTGGAGAGTGTATATATGGGCTTGAAAGAATTACAGTGAGATCCTAAAAAAAGAAAATAATTACTAGCATCAATGACAAGTGAGCTGTTTTATTTATTACCTTGTAATTTGTCATTGTATGCTGCTCTATTGTTATTGGGACTTTTTAGTAATTATGTTTCTTATTTAGAATTTCATAGATATTCTGCCTATGGGCTTTGCTCTGCAGCTAGGTGCCAATGAATCAAATTTAAAGAAAGAGTTGGACGAGTTTCTCATATGTTGATGCTGCCTATGGAATCCCTTTTTCTTTAGGAGGGGGGAAGAATGGGCTTGTAGTCTAATGCGTAAAAGTTCTTTTATAAGTGAGAGGTTGTAAGTCTGATTTTATTTTCAAGTTATTAGTACCTATCCTTCTAATTTATATATTAAAAAAAATCATGTGATCTTGATTTCTTTTATTAGTTTCCATATGCTCTTGATGACATTTTAAGTTAAAATTCTCCCAAAAGCTTGTCCCGATTTATATTTTTGGAGTTTTTTTTTTGGGTCAGAATTTTAAGTTGGTTTCATCTTATTTTGACTTCGATAGTTTGGCTTTAGGAGTATTTCTAGCAAAAAATTTCCTTCTCTTTCCATCATACGTTTCTCTTTGCTTCGTATTTTTAGAATTTGATCAATTTTTAAGCTAAAAAGGTCTATTCAGGTCTAATTTCAATGACCTAAATTTATTTATTTATTTTTATTGTCTCAAAAATTTTCTAAATATTAAATTCAAAGTACATCTAAATTTTATAAAAACTATCTTAAAAGGTCCGAATTTGAGCAGGAAAAATGTTCCTTTTATTCCGGAAAGATTGATTGGATGGTTTAGGATCGATTTAAGAGTTTAATTAAATGTATACATAAGTAATGAAGTTAAGAAACCAAGTTATAATCAACAAAGTTATAAAATACTACCTCCGATCCTTAATATAAGACCTTGTTTGATTTTTATTTTGGTCTTAAATATAAAAAGCCAATCTACTTTGTTTCTCATATTTATGCATTTTTTTCCGAAAATAGTCTTTCTAATTATGATAGTTCTAGCCAATACACTTGATTAGCAATGATATTTTAAGAAAGATAACATATATTTATTACAAATAACTAACTTAATTTATTTTCTTAATCTCCTTAACTAAGTCAACTAATTTTTATAATTAGTACGAGAGGTAGTAACTAATTACAGGCGGGGTCTTTCATATGACTTCAAAGTAATCTGTGCACTATATTGAAGAATGTCTTATAAAATTAAAAACAAATATATGAAATACAAAAGAATAACCTAAAATTACTAATTAAGAAATGAATAGAAAACACAACACACTGTTAAATCAGACGAAGGAAAAAGAGGGAGAAGCTGAAGCTTAGTCATTGGGCAGGTGATCAGCGGGAAAAATTGGAGTATTTCTCCATCATTATTCTATACCTTGTACTTGTATATATATGTATAGACGTCATTATCAATGATAACACATGATGAAAAAGAAAGTAAAACCACAACTACGAATAGAAACAACAGTAAATACAAAGCAAGCATTAATAAGGAACTTATATTCTGAACTCGTTCAAACATGTACGCCAAGATGATTCCACCAAACAGGAATCCCCACGACGACCCCATTATTTGGAACATTCATATGATGATCGAAAGCCCCATAATTTTGCTTTCCCGAGCACTTTGAATCATCATCTTCTTGTTGTTCTTCTCCTTCCTTCTTCTTCTTCACTGAGAAACTGATCACCCCCCGCTTCTCCTTCCTTCCCAATTCCTCAGCCTATAATTCAACACCTCCGAACATGCCTCGTCCTTTGGCACCACATCCGAAATGGCTATTCTGGCCAACCCAATGGGTCGAACCAAACCTTTCGACGTCTTACACTGAACTTCGAATGTAATAGACTTTGCATGCAATGGCGCCTCCACCATCAACCTCTCGTTCCATGTAGTGCTGTGCCCTGAACTTAAGCTCTCTCCTCCTTGCTTCGCCATTTTCGTGGTCCAGCACTTTAACGACTCCGTCCGGACCACCACATACACGTCCTCCGTCACCGGTTTCTGAACGATGCAAAGGTTCTCTCCGGATATAACGGTGACCTCCAGACTCCGTGTCTTAATTGGGTCCATTCTCGGTCAGACCTGCAAGAAAATTGAAGTAGAAACTCGGAGAGTTATATATGTATATCTAAATATATGATGGATATGAAGAGTGTATATATGAAGGATATTTTGTGATGAAAATAAAGGAGGAGGGAGGAGGATTTATATAATGGGATTTCGGGAGAGAATCGTGAGAAAAGAGCCGTAAAGACGAAGCATAGGCATGGATTTGGTTTACTGGTAAGAAGCCAACAGTTGTTGCCCATAGCTAGTTTCTGACTCGGTCGCCTTTTCTGAGACACGGTTCTTAAATTTCTCCGAATTTTAATTTCTCCTCCTTGTCGCGTGGGGGAAGAATTTTCTGGGCATGTCTATAGTGAAATTTCGATTTCACTTTACGTGTTGCCGTGAAACTGAGTAATAAAACGAAAATACTGTTGTGATTTTAGTTTTAGATATGGAAAGAGCAAACAGTAGTGGAATAAGAATGATTTTTAAATTAACTTTCAGATGGAGATTTCTGGGGAAAGTGCCATGGCATATAGTACAAGGTAAGCAAATAGATAATTTATTTTAGATTATTGACTTTACGAAAGACCAGCGAAGTCAAGAGAAGAATATAATCTTGTTGCATACGTTAGACTATAATTGAAGGGTAGTGTTTCTTTTCTCGCAAATTTCCATAGAATTGTATAGCCATAGTGTGAATTTTCCATCATTTCGTGTATATGTTATGGGGTTTAGTTTCCACCGATGCTTCTTTGTAATTTTATAGGTTCTTTAAATTATAAGCACACAAGTACAACGCTGTTTCTCTCACAGCGAGGGCGAGGATTTTAAATTTCATAATGATAGTAAATCTCACAATGGACACGCATATGTAATGCATAGCATAACAATTTAAGATGTACTCGTACAATTTAGGGACACTTCGAGATAAATTGTTAGTGACTTACAAATAATACATCTTTCTGTAACTATATTGTTTGGTAATGTGACTTCAAAATAATGTTCAAATCTGAAGTAGTTGGTAATGTAAAAGGATATATTTTCCTTATGTAAAACAGAATTTTGAAAGTCTGGAATTTTGGATTTTTTTTATTAATAATTCTGTACCTAATATGTTTCCTTTTCAAATTTCACAAATCTTTTATTCAAATGTTAGAACTTAGAACTATAAAATATTCACTGGATCATCTATTCACGCTTCATCTTTCACCTTATTACTTGCTGACCTTGAAAAAAAAATCAAGTTTATAGATGAAAAAAATAAAGTCGTTACATATAATTGTGAAGTTTTGTTTTGTATGAAAATCTAACTCACGTAGTTACACAATTTCAAAAAATCTAGTGTGTTCTTTTTTTTTTTTTGGTAATGTATTAACTTTAATTTGGTATAATATTTTTTTTTTTAAAAAAATGGAGAGGTGGGGCAGGAGAGCGCTCTGCCTCCTTAATCCTTATGGGACACGCTTTTGATTTATTCAAAGACATATGAAAAGTTAAACTTGGCTTTCAACTCAAACACAAAGAAAAGTCAACCTTCGAGTGGTAATACCACTTTGTCCAATGCCGTAAATATCTCTTACTATCAATTAATAAACGGCTAAACGCTGGCAACAACCGCCCCTTTGCATAACTAATTTTCTTATTTGAATTTACAACTTGACTCCTCTGCTATTTTATTCTTCTTCTTCTTCTGTTTTACTATCATTTTGTAGTATTGACCGTGAATTACTGCTTATAATATAAGAACCAGTTGATTAATTTAAAAAAATTAAAAAAATCATTAAATTATTTTAAAATATTTATATTTATTGTTTTTCTTTCAAATAATAACTTTTGTAATTTCTCCAAATTAATCAATTATGTCTTATATTAAAGATAAAAAGTGGTAAAAAAAATATTTGTATCATGACACTCAGCCACATGGTTTAAAGGGAATTGAATTATGAATTGAAGAGGTTACTTTGAATTTAGTTTGGCGACTCGTAGATATACGAAGGATGAAATTACCCCCCTCAATTAATTAACTTCAACCAAGTTCAATTAATCCAATATTTGCTATAATTTTTTTGGTTTGGCCAATACAATATAATTCCTGTATATGATTGAAAAAATACAAACTTTTCGGATCAAATCAACTAAAAATGAAAGAAAGTGATAGTGCTACTATATCTTGATTCTTGGTCAAACAGGAATGCCCGGGTGGCTCCAGGAAACAGGAATTCCAGTGACGATTCCACTGTTTCCCCTTAATTTCATCTGCTGATGATGATCCATCCCACTCCCAAATGCACCACAAGAACCCGCCATTATTCCCAGCTTTTCTTCTTCTTCTTCATTCTTCAGCTTGACTGAGAAATTGATGACCCCACTTCTCCTTCCATCCCAATTCCTCAGCCTGTAACTCAGCATCTCCGAACATTTCTGTTCCTTTGGCATCACATCCCCAGTCGCTATTCTTGCCAGCCCAACGGATCTAACCACACCTTTTGACGTCTTGCTCAGAACTTCCAACGTCATAGACTCTGCATGCCATGGCATTTCCACCGTCAAATTCTCGTTCCATAAAGTGCTCACGCTCCCCGCTTCTTGCTTCGCCATTTTCGTGCTCCAACACTTAACGGACCCTGCACGAACCACGACGCACATATTCGCCGTCACCGGATTCCGATCATCAGTGCAGAGGTTCTCACCGGATATGATTCTGACCTCCAGGGTACGTGTCCTGATTGGCTCCATATTTCGGTCAAACACAGGAAGAAAATTTAGGAAGAAACTGATGGAGAAGAGAGGAATTAATTTACACGAGCGTCAGAAAGAGGTAGAGATTTTGGGATGAAAGTGAAGGAGGAAGGTTTGGTTTATATATATAAAGGAGGTTCGTGGGGAGAACCGCGTAATTGGGACATGCATAGTTGGAAAGGGAGACTACCGAGCAGGTTCACATGGTTTGGTCTATAAAATGAAAACGCAGGGCGACGCGCTGCCAGGGCATTGACCCCTTTTTGTTCATACCGACGCATCGCAGTTTCATGTGCAACTATTATCAAATTTCTTGGAAATTTATTCACAAACGGTTTTGGTTTGTAAGGTCTTAGGCTAACTGTGCGTGGCTAGGCAGAGGAAGTTTCAACGAAGTTAATGACATAATACATGTACTATATATTATTGACGTCAAAGTTAATTAAACACATGCGGCCTTCATGTTATAGTATTTTCTATCCTCATGATCAGCAAACAAACAAAAACAAAAAGAGATTCTCGTTAACACAGCGGCTCAGGTTTTAGTGTCATTATCTCGCTACATATGCTTCTGCACCAACACTCTTTTCCTTTTGACTTTGAATTTTCCACAACTTCTTTGCATATGTTAAGTACAACCTCGTTGCCGTCAGCTCTGCCCGATTCCGCCGTAGAGCCCTCCCCCCTTCTTCGTTACTCCGTCTCCGATCAAGAACTCCGACGGACGTCGGGGCCGTTATGGAGCGCCGCGAGGTTCTTCGGGCATGCTAGCGGGCGGCGGATGATGCTCCGGGAGACGTCGGTGCGGGTGCGAGAGAACGCGGCGGAGCAGCTGGAAGCGCGTCAGAGTAACTGGGCGTTCTCGAAGCCGGTGGTGATCCTGGATGTCGTTTGGAACTTGGCGTTTGTGATTAGCGGGATTGTCGTTTTGGGGCTGAGCGTTGAGGAGAAGCCTTCGGTGCCTTTGAGGGTGTGGATTTGTGGGTACTTGCTTCAAGATGCGTTTCATTGTGTGCGTGTGACTCTTAAGTATAGACGATACATGCAAGCCCAAGCTCGTTCTGCGTCCGAAGAACGGTATGAGAATGGGATTTCTTGGGAAAGAGGTGTAGATTTTAATTCTAGTTCTGGGAGTGATATTGGCGATGCAAATGATTCAGCTGACGAACAGGATCAGGACGGATATAGGTACGCTACTACAAAACTGTAACTGAGTGTTGGATATTGCGTCGATAAGAAATCACTGGATGGCATTAAGTAAGACTTTGAGTTTGAGTCATGTGAATTGAGGGGGGGGGGGGGGAATCATGTGGGAAGAACTAATCTCATTTGGAGTTGATGGTGCTTGGATTTGATTTAGTCTGTAGTATGAAATATGGATGATTAATTATCGCGGGGAAAAAAGAAAAATAGAAAGTTGGCATTTTAAAATGCATACTGAACTTTTCCTGGCTCACCTTTTTTAAAAATGTATACGGTACTTCCGTTGCAGCATCAGGAAGCGCATGGAATCTGTAAATACCATGTTCTCATTCATATGGTGGCTTCTTGGATTTTATTGGATTACTACAGGAGGCCAGAGCTTGACCCAAGATGCCCCTCTGCTTTACTGGTTAGTCGGAAGTTGTTTAATTTTGTTCTTAATAAGTGACGTGTGCTAGTCTAAACCTTCTATACTTGTAATGAGCAATATAGGGTATAAATTAATGACGCCAAATAAACCACATTTTCCTGACAAGCAACCTGGCAAGTTTGACATTGATTTTAGGATAAGAATAGGAGTGTGTGAGAATAGCTAAAGTAGTCTAGTGATTAAAAAAATACAACTGCAACTGTCCAACAGGAATGGTATGGTATATGAATTCTTTTAGCCGTCTTCCTTTTCCTGTTCTCAATCTAAGATTGCATGGTTGTGGTTTGCAGGCTTTGTATTACCTTCCTTGCTATCGACATTGTAATTGTTTTGATCTGCGTGGTTGTGGCATGCCTGGTTGGTATTGCTGTTTGCTTCTGTCTTCCATGCATACTTGCATTTTTGTCAGCGGTGGCGGATAAGGTGAATAAGCTTTTTAACCTTTTTTATCTTGCTTATATTGTAATTATTTTTAATTAAGATAATGAGGAGCTTAATGCTTCTTTCCCTGTGGTTAGCAAACACTCCATACATAGCCCATGATTTAGTACTATGTTCACTTTGGTTTATTGAAGCGGCTATTTCAGTATGGAGCAAAATTATTTATTTATCATATTGATTTTTAGAAGACTTTAGTGGCCTCATAACTTAAGGTTCCGTATTTCATTAAGCACTCATCAGCAGTAAACATGAAGTGACTTTTTAATGTGGGAGCAGGAAGGGGCAACCAAGGAAGAAATCAATCGGTTGCCGAAATACAAGTTCAGGAGAGCTGATGAAAATAAGCCTAATGTTGATGGTGATGATGCCGAAGCTTCATCTTGTAAAGGAATAATGACAGAATGTGACAGCGATTCACCAGCAGAACACGTTCTTCCCACAGAAGATTCAGTAAGCTTCCATTGCATTTATTACGAATGGGGAAGATATGATCTGACCTACATAATCATGCTTGAAAACACAAACACGCCATTTTCGCTAAATACTCCTTGAGTGCTCTAGCCTCCAGTTATTGTATTTAATGCTCGGGATATTGGATACTAAAGTATATTACATCATGGCGCTTAAAGATTCTCATGCTTAGCATATTGATTAAATTTTGAAATATATATACATATATATATGAAAGAAAAATTTGTATATTATCAATGTCAACTACGGTCAAATATTTAAGACAACTGCATTTCTATCAACCATGAAGATCATAAGCATTGCAGTATATCAGACCTTATATCCCATGCAATGATCTCAGATATCATGACTAGTCTTGATCTTGTATGTTTATGAAAGTGAATGTACATGGTGTATTCAGAGAGACGTGGAAAGGAGATGATGAATGCAATTATGAGATGTAAACATCTTAAAGAATCACATTCTTTTATGTCACTTTCTCTTTGAAAGTAGGAGTACATGAATAGTAGAGAATGTAGTTTAATGTATATCATGAGATGTGAGAGAATGACGAACAGAACAAATATGCCATGATTTCTGACATGAATGTTTCTGATGGATGGCAGGAGTGCTGCATCTGCCTGTGTCCCTATGAGGATGGGGCTGAGCTAAGAGAACTTCCCTGTACCCACCATTTCCACACGGACTGCATCGACAAGTGGTTGTACATCAACGCCAACTGCCCTCTCTGCAAATTCAATGTTCATACTGGAGACCATTCGCAAGTTTGAATTGGAAAAGAGGATGCGTTTTCACATTAGATCATGTGCTTTTTTCCATGCATGCTCTCACCAGCATCATACTGGCACTTGTTCCTGCTATGTATGTGATTAAGATGAGTTTAATATGTAATACTTAGTATGATTGTAATAATAAATTTAATTTAACGGTTAAAGTAGGAATGCATATGGATGCCTCATCTTATACTCTGGAGTTGAGGGTTTGTTGTGGAGAGTGCATATATGGGCTTGGGAGAATTACAATGAGATTCTAAAGAAAGAAAATAATTACCAACATCAGTGATAAGTGAGTAGTTATCATTTATTATCTTGTAATTTGTCATTGCATGCTGCTCTGTTATCATTGAGACTTTTTAGTAATTATGTTTTCCACTTGGAATTTCATGGATATTCTCCCTATGGGCTTTGTTCTGTAGCCAAGTGCTAATTAATCAAATTTAAAGAAAGAGTTGGACGAGTTTCTCATATGTTGACGCTTCTCCTATTTAATCCCTTTTTGTTTAGGAGTGGAGAAGAAAGGGCTTGTAGTCTAATGCATAAAAATTCTTTTATAAGTGAGAGGTTGTAAGTCGGATTTTGTTCTCAAGTTATTAGTGCCTATCCTTCTAATTTATATATTAAAAAAAAATCATGTGATTTTGATTTCTTTTATTGTAATGGGAGGCAAGTAATTTCCATATGCTCATGATGACGTTTTAAGTTAAAATTCTCCCAACATCTTGTCCCGATTTATATTACTGGAGGTTTTTTTGGGTCAGAATTTTAAGTTGGTTTCATCTTATTTTGACTCCAATAGTTTCGCTTTGGGAGTATTTCTATCCGAAGATTTCCCCCTCTTTTCAGCATATGTTTCTCTTTGCTTCGTATTTTTAGACTTTAATTTGATCAATTTTTAAGGTAAAAAAGTCTATTCAGGTCTAATTTTAATGACATAAATTTATTTATTTTTATTGTTTCAAAAATATTTTTCTAAATATTAAATTCAAAACACATCTAAATTTTATACAAACTATCTTAAGAGGTCCGAATTTGAGCAGAAAAATGTTCCTTTTATCCTGGAAAGATTGATTGGACGGTTTAGGATCGATTTAGGCTATGTTTGGATTACTGTTTAGCCTAGACAATGCATCTTCAAAAGCGTAAGATGTGGGTTGGAGAGTTATTTGAAGAAAAAAGGTTGTTTAGGATGGCGTTTTGTTCCATTGCCACCGCAGCTTCAAACTGACTTTTATTCAATAGAACTTTTCCTTGCTTTTGCCTTTAGCTCCGTTACAGTGAGTAGGACCCACTAATTTTTTTTACCTTCGTGTCCCTCGTTGGCAATCCCTCTGTAGGCCAACTCCTTACCAACACTAAGCAACACATTTATATTTATTATTATTATTTTTAATTTATCCATTATATATATTTAATTAATTATCTACAATGTGTTTTTAAATTTTTCTTGGTAACACATATTTTTATTTTATAATTCCATAAATAAACTATTTTTATTTTATCATAATAATTTTATGCATTTTTTTAACTACTATCACATTAAAAACACAAAATATCAAACATTACTATTTAATAAAGTTCATATCCTTTTTAGTCATTTTACAACTAAACTCACTTTTTTATTAATTATCGAAATAACTTTTAACTTTTTCAACCGACTTTTTATAAGCACTTATCTAAACATAAATCGAATTACACTAATTGATTTTTACTCTAATTTCAGTTATAAAAGTTATCCAAGTAATGGAGTTAAGAAACCAAATTATAATCAACGAGGCTATAAAATAACTAATTGCAGGCGGGGGTCTTTCATATGACTTCAAAGTGATCTATGCAATATATTAAAGAATGTCTTATAAAATTAAAAACAAAAATATGAAATATAAAAGAATAAGATTTGTTTTCGTGAAAAAGGGGCAAAAACTGATTAAAAAGCGAAGAAAAGTAGGCCTAAAATCACGAAGAAATGAATAGAAAACACAACACACTGTTAAATCAGACGAAGGAAAAAGAGGGAGAAGCTGAAGCTCAGTCATTGCGCAGGTCTTCAGCAGGAAAAATTGGGGTATTTCTCCATCATTATTCTTACATCCTGTAGCAAACATATGAAATAATAATATACCTTGTAAATGTTTGTTTATACATATAGACGCCATTATCAATGATAAAACATGATGAAAAAGAGAGTAAACACCACAACTATGAATAGAAGCAAGAATAAATACAAAGCAAGCATTAATAAGGAAATTATATTTTGAAGTCGTTCAAACATGTAAGCCAAGATGATTCCACCAAACAGGAATGCCCAAGACGACCCCATTATTTGGAACATTCATATGATGATCGAAACCCCCATAATTTTGCTTTCCCGAGCACTTTGAATCATCATCTTCTTCTTTTTCTTCTCCTTCCTTCTTCTTCTTCACTGAGAAACTGATCACCCCGCTTCTCCTTCCTTCCCAATTCCTCAACCTATAACTCAACACCTCCGAACATGCCTCGTCCTTTGGCACAACATCCGAAATGGCTATTCTGGCCGACCCAATGGGTCGAACCGAACCTTTCGACGTCTTACACTGAACTTCGAATGTAATAGACTTTGCATGCAATGGTGCCTCCACCATAACCTCTCGTTCCATGTAGTGCTGTGCCCTAAACTAAGCTCTCTCCTCCTTGCTTCGCCATTTTCGTGGTCCAGCACTTTAACGACTCCGTCCGGACCACCACATACACGTCCTCCGTCACCGGATTCTGATCGATGCAAAGGTTCCTCTCCGGATATAACGGTGACCTCCAGAGTGCGTGTCTTAATTGGGTTCATTCTCGGTCAGACCTGGGAAGAAAATTGAAGGAGAAACTCGGAGAGTTGTATATATGTGTGTGTGTGATGGATATGAAGAGTGTATATATGGAGGATATTTTGTGATGAAAATAAAGGAGGAGGGAGGAGGATTTATATAATGGGATTTCGGGAGAGAAGCGTGAGAAAAGAGCCATAAAGACGAAGCAAAGACATGGATTGGATTACCTGGTGAGAAGGTAACAGTGTTGACCATAGGTAGTTTCTGACTCGGTCGCGTTTTCTGAGACACTGTTCTTAAATTTCTCCGAATTTTAATTTCTTCCTTATCGCGCGGGGGAAGAATTTTCTGGGCATGTCTATAGTGAAATTTCGATTTCACTTTACGTGTTGTCGTAAAACTGACTAATAAAATAAAAATACTGTTGAGATTTTAGTTTTAAATACGGAAAGAGCAAAAAGTAGTGGAATAAGAATGATTTTTAAATTAACTTTCAGATGGCGATTTCAGGGGAAAGTGCTATGGCATATAGTATAAGGTAAGCAAATAGATAATTTAGTTTAGATTGTTGACTTTACCAAAGACCAACGAAGTCAAGAGAAGAATATAATCTTGTTGCATACGTCAGACTATAATTGATGGGTAGTGTTTTTTCCCCGCAAACTTCTATAGAATTGTATGGTCATCTTCTCTCGTTCACAGTGTGAATTTTCCATCATTTCTCGATTGAAATTCTGGATTTTTTATTTATAATATACCGAATATGTTTCTTTTCACACTTCACAAATCTTTTATTCAAATGTTAGAACATAGAACTGTGAAATATTCATTGGATCATCTATTCACACTTCATCTTTCATCTTGCTGACTTTTAAAAAAATCAAGTTTATAGATGAAAAAATAAAGTCGTTCCGTATAATTGTGAATTTTTGTTTTGTAAGAAAATCTAACTCACGTGGTTACACAATTTCAAAAAATTTAGTGTGTTTTTTTTGTAATTTATTACTCTCGATTTTTAATATAAGAGTTAATTTGACATTCAATTTGATTTTAATATAAGATCTCAATCTACTTTATCTTTCATGTTTATCTTTTTTTTTCAAAAATAGTCCTTCTAGTAGTTGCATATGTTAAATGTCTCATTAAATAGTAGCTCTAGTTAATACATATGATCAACGAGGGTATTTTAGAAAAAATAATACCTAATTATTACAAATAACGAACTTAACAAACTTTCTTAATGTATTCAAATTAGTTAACTATCTCAATCTACTTTGTCTTTCATGTTTATCTTTTTTTTTCAAAAAGTACTTCTAGTAGTTGCACATGTTAAATGTCTCATTAAATAGTAGCTCTAGTTAATACATATGATCAACAAGGGTATTTTAGAAAAGATAATACCTAATTATTACAAATAACGAACTTAACAAACTTTCTTAATGTACTCAAATTAGTCAACTAGCTCTTATATTAAGGACTGAAAGTAACATATTAATTTTAATTTAGTATAATACTACCTCCGATCTTATTTATAAGATATTGTTTATAAACTACAAATGAGTTCTTATAATTTAGTATATTTTTTTAAAAAAAATGGAGAGGTGCGGCAGGAGAGCAATCTGCCTCCTTAATCCTTATGGGACACGCTGTTGATTTATTCAAAGACATGCGAAAAGTTAAACTTGGCTCTCAACTCAAACACAAAGAAAAGTCAACGTTGGAGTGGTAATACCACTTTGTCTTATGCCTTAAGTATCTCTTACTATCAATTAATAAACGGCTAAACGCTGGCAAATACCGTCTCCCTCATAATTTTCTCGTTTGAATTTACAACTTGACTTCACAGCTATTTTCTTCTTCCTTTTTACTATTATTTTGTAGCAACAACCGTAAACCACTACGACCTAGTTGATCAATTTAATAATATTAAAGAAGTTACTAAATTATTTTAAAATATTTATATTTATTGTTTTTCTTTCCAACTAGTAACTTCATTAATCTTTACAAATTAATCAATTAGTCCTATATTAAAGATAGAAGGTGGCATAAAAAATATTTGTATCATGAGACTCGACCACATAGATTAAAGGGAATTGAATTATGAATTGAAGAGGTTACTTTGAATTTAGTTTGGTGACTCGTAGGTATACGAAGGATGAAATGAGTCCCCTCAATTTAATTTCAACCAAATTCAATTAATCCAATATTTGCTATGATTTTTTTGGTCTCGCCAATACAATATAATTCCTGTATATGATTGGAAAATACAAACTTTTTGGATCAAATCAATTTAAAATGAAAGAAAGGTGCTAGTGCTACTGTATCTTTATTCCTGGTCAAACGGGAATGCCCTGGTGGATCCAGGAAACAGGAATTCCGGTAACGATTGCACTGTTTCTCCTTAATTTCAACTCCTGATGATGATCCATCCCACTCCCAAATGCACCACAAGAACCCGCCATTATTCCCAGCTTTTCTTCTTCTTCTTCATTCTTCAGCTTGACTGAGAAATTGATTACCCCACTTCTCCTTCCATCCCAATTCCTCAGCCTGTAACTCAGCATCCCCGAACATTTCTGTTCCTTTGGCATCACATCCGCAATCGCTATTCTTGCCAGCCCAACGGATCTAACTACACCTTTTGACGTCTCACTCTGAACTTCCAACGTCATAGACTCTGCATGCCATGGCATTTCCACCGTCAAATTCTCGTTCCATAAAGTGCTCACGCTCCCCGCTTCTTGCGTCGCCATTTTCGTGCTCCAACACTTAACGGACTCTGCACGAACCACGACGCACATATTCGCCGTCACCGGATTCCGCTCATCAGTGCAGAGGTTCTCACCGGATATGATGCTGACCTCCAGGGTGCGTGTCCTGATTGGCCCCATATTTCGGTCAAACACAGGAAGAAATTTTAGGAAGAAACTGATGGAGAAGAGAGGAATTAATTTACACGAGCGTCAGAAAGAGGTAGAGATTTTGGGATGAAAATGAAGGAGGAAGGTTTGGTTTATATATATAGAGGAGTTTCGTGGGGAGAACCGCGTAACTGGTACATGCATAGTTGGAAAGGGAGACTACCGAGCAGGTTCACGTGGTTTGGTCTATGAAATGAAAACGCAGGGCGACGCGCTGCCAGGGCATTGACCCCTTTTAGTTCATACCGACGCATCGCAGTTTCATGTGCAACTATTACCAAATTTCTTGGAAATTTATTCACAAACGGTTTTGGTTTGTAAGGTCTTGGGCTAACCGTGCGTGGTCAGGCAGAGGAAGTTTCAACGAAGTTAATGACATAACACATATACTATATATTAGTGATGTGAAAGTTAATTAAACACATGCGGCCGTGATATTATATTCCTTCTTGTCTTTAATATAAGAACTGATTTAACTTTTATTTTAATCCTAAATATAATACTCTAATTTATTTTGTCTCTTATATTTATTTGTTTTTTTTCCCAAAAGAGTCTTTGTAATAATAATAGTTCTAGCCAATATACTTGATTAGGAAAAATATTTTAAGAAAGATAATACCGATTTATTACAAATAACTAATTTTTTTAATTTATTCAAATTAATTAATTAATTTTTATATTAAGTATCTAAGTAGTAGTATTTTCTATCCTCGTCATCGGCAAACGAACAAAAACAAAGAGAGATTCTCTTTAACACAGCCATACACGTTTTAGCGTCGTTATCTCGCTACATCTGCTTCTGCGTCAACGTTTTTTCCTTTTGACTTTGAATTTTCCGCAGCTTCTTTGCATTACGCCAAATATCACTTGAGCACTTTTTTCCATTCTTTGACAACGTTTTTTAATGTTACTTCTCAACTCAAAAATTGTACGTGTTGTTTTTAGTCGTAAAATTTTTACTTGTACGTAAAAGGAATAGTGCATCAATCTAGGAAGGTGTATTATATTACCTCGGGTTCTTAATATAATACCCCGTTTGACTTTTATTTTGATTCTAAATATAAGACATCAATCCACTTTGTCTCTCATATTTATACATTTTTTTAAAGTAGCTCTTCTAACAATGATAGCTCTAGTTAATACACTTGATTAGCAAGGATATTTTAGAAAAGATAAAACCTATTTAAGACAAATAACTAACTCAACTTACTTGCTTAATCTCCTCAAATTAATCAACTGACTCTTATAATTAGGACCGGAGGTAGTATAAATTTTTTTGGGGTCAAATATTATATGAATTTAAATAGAAAATAAAATACAAACCATTTATAATTTATAATTTATAATTAGTGTGATTTTTTAGATACATATATTTTATACTAATATAATTAAAGAACTTAAATAATCAATTGGGAGAATAACAAGTGTCACCTCAAAGTGGGCCACAATGAAATGGATGAATAATCCACTGGCCCAAATAATGAAGCAAACTTGGGCCTATATTCAGGATTGTACCTTTTTCTTGAGCCTAAGTTTGTAAATTTCCACCCAGCACATGTTATTGATGATGGCCCATTATTGTCCATTACCAACTTGAATAGTACAGGTATATTCAACTCGCATTAGCAGTAATTTTTAGGTAAAATAATAACCCATTCATCGTTATATTAATTAGTATCATATGAGGCGAAGGAGCTGATAGGGTGAAGATTGAAAATGATACGAGATGTCGTGTAATAAAAACGAAATTTTGAAAGAATCACATGTTGGAAGCTAGCCATTTGAGTTAGAGAGCTTAAAACCTTAAAAAACCCCTATTTTAAGGCAGAGTGGAAGCCTTAGAGCTTATAAGACTCCTACTTAAGGACAGTCCTCCCACTATAAGGCTCATGACAATGTCTATGCTCAGAGGGGTTTTTTTAAAAAAAAGAAAAAAGAAAAAAAAAAGAACCATAATCAGAGTAGAATTATTAGATGAAGATGTGATGGATGCATGCTGGGGACCACATTCAATGGCTGGTTTCGTGTGCCAAATTCAAAAGCGGGCCCTCCTTCATCCCTTGGACAGTTAATCAAAAGAGCAAAACATGGGGGCCGGCCATACATCTGTAAGCTCCTCAACCTCACCATCTTTCTTGTACTCCCATGACTCGCCAGTGACAACTGCAAGCAATCATTCATACCCCATATATATATATATATATATATATATATAACAGGTGACACATTTCAAGGATAAAAATGGCACGGATATGAATATGAAGCAATGTTATGGGAAAACAAGTTAGGGAAAATATAATCAGGACACACATTAAAACGACATTTCTGTGGAAAGCTTTCAAGACCTGTACTGCCAAGTGTCGTGCAACTCTATTCACCTAAGTAAGCCAATGAATGGATTGAGTAGTTATCCAGCAACCAGCGAATCTGGAGGAGTGTAGAGTCCAAAAAGCATATCTTTGAAATCTTGCGAGGGAGAGGGGCCCAGCACAAGAAATAGTACGTTACCCACACATACATGTGGGTGAATTCAGAATCGTCCAATGGGGACACCATAGGATACCATTCATGAAGACTGAGTAAATTGTTGAGGTAAAAGAAAAACACATAATAATAGATAGGGATCGCACTAGGAGGTGCATGCATGGTGATGCAGGGATGAACGGTACATGATATGCAAATGAATTTAGAAAGATTGGTCCAGAAGGGGAAATTAACCTGCAGATTCATGAAAAGTACCGTTGAGATCCCTGAAATCTATTATAATTGGGTGATCTCTTATGTGAAGTGTAGTTGTCAGGCAGAGATGGGAACGTTAGGTTGGGCTGAAGCAAGAGTCGTTTTCTGAGTTAGGAATGATGAGAGCTTCTTATGTTTCCAAAAGCGTCACTGTTCCCACCGTCCACTTGTTCATCTGTGCAGCTTGTGTTATCTCAAATATGCGCTTCTAATTCTATTATCAGTAATTTCGGTCCTATCCATGAAATGTCATAACAAGTCTGTGCCAAGCGTGTTTGAAACAGAGGCTCCACCGTCACATCCCCATAACAAATCACATTGCTGTTTCTTCCTCATCTGAAATTTATTTCGCTTGTTGGGTCGATTCAACTGTTGATGTTGCACAATCATTTCATCAAGTAATTTTCCCAACTGTTATATCAAACTCAGGACCTTCCGATCACGCCTGTATAACATTCCTGATCCTCCTAATGGTTTTGATAAAGGGATGACTCTGGTCGTTTTCACCCTGCATGAGTTGAATCACCTGAGCTGAGTAGAGTCACTTCAAGAGTGCCCAAAAGCTTAACAGTGAAACTTTACACCCATCCACGTCCAATCTCACTCGCCCAAGGTCAGAGAAGATCCATTGAGAGTACATATTCTGTCTCTGGCGTGATTCTGAACTGGATTTATTTCTTCTTTTTTCACTCTCACCATTTTTTTCCCCTTTCATTGAACTGCAATATCCTTCCTTTTTCTTTAGTAAAACATGGGACATATGAAAATGAGGTTAGACTGTGTTGCATTGGATTAAATGACAAGAATAACAAAATTCTAGACTGGACACTCAGAGACAGTGTTTAGATAAAAACCAAATCATAATTTTAAAAGTCATTTTATAGAAGTAAATATGTAAAAAAATTTATCTCGATTTAAAGATTCCAAACACCATTTTAAAATTCAGAAAGCGAAGTAACATTATGAATCAATCAAATTTTGAGAGTGAGCCATTTTCAACGGCGTCCCCTTACGCCTCTGCATTCCATGATTCCAACAGCTTCCGCTCATCCGGCCCCCCTCCTCGTCACATCAACTAAATCAAATCCACCGGCCCCAATACGTATATATGCCATACAAACAATCCCACCAATTATATTATATTACTCATCAAATTATCACAACTACATCTTCAGACGCAGCCATGTAAAGTCAAAAAAACTTTTTTTTTCCTAATTTTTTTATTGTTCAATAAGTATTTACAACTGCATCTGCCTCAATCAAATGAAACGACGCATCAAACAAAATCAATGCAACCATCAACCCAAAACAAAAAATATCATTTTGGTTTTTTCTTTTTTTCCGTTTACATTGGGATTGTGAATAGTGGAGCAAACATTGGATCTTTCCGAGTCAATACCCGAACCGGCACCCCTGCCAGCACGGTTCGTTCTTGACTCAACACCCTTCCCCTCCACGCGCCCCCATTCCACGTCTCACTGCTGCAATATGCCATTTACCACCCTCGAAAAGCTTCTAAAACAAAAAATTGTCATTTACGTTTCACGTGACTCAGCTTTCACCGGGGAGTGCGGCCTTTATCTTCTGCGCCGTACAAGAGATGAGGTTGTTCACCGTCTCCACTGACTCCACCGTCAGCTTCGCCGTCGGCAGGCTATTCACCAGTATCTGGAACGCCACCGTCAGGAGTGAACCACTAGCTCTGCCGCCGCCGTTTCTCACCGGCGTTTGCGACCCACGTGGCCCGGACCCGTCTGGCACGATCACGAACCCTGACGGGAGTAACGCCACGTAAGCTGGATCGCCACCGTTCATGACCAGGTGCATCGCCGGGATATCCACCGGCGCGTACACTACGAGCGCGCCCGACGCGTCGATGCAGGTCTCCTGCAATATTAACATGCTGCTCTGGCTGGGATTCATAGCCTGAAAGTCGGGGGAGGAAAAAAAATTAGAAATTTACATCCCGTGTTGTCATTGTCGTTTAAGCTTCGAGCAGTGTGAGAACGTAGTCAAATGCTGGGTCCCACTGTTTCTATATTTTTATCTCGTTTTCTAAAATGATGACGTCAGAGCTCAGAAACCCAGAAGAAAGGCCACAACCGTCCATCTATTTTGACTTCTAATCAGAGCTTTCACATACTGAATTGTTAATAATTTAAAACTCATATTCTCAGCACACCTCACAAGTTTATACTATCCCGACTTGTTTTACCGAAACCCTGCCTTATCTCTTTCTGCCACAAGATTGTCCCCAAAGATACTTCCAAATTCCCGAATTTGTCCATTACCCAATTTCATCTCGTTTTTTCAACCACACCACTACTGGACGAAAAATGCCGCTTGGACCCGAATTCGTATTACGGCTATTTTTGTAATTAGATAATTTAGAGGGAGAAAGAAAGGGTTTCAGTTCATACGCTGGATCTGAGGAGGGAGACGCAGTTGCCGTGGTCCTGGCCCTTGGCGATGTGGGCCATCTCCTGCATGGGCCCACCGTTCGACAGTATGTCCCACTCGCTCCGGAGCCTTTCGTCACGGAGGAAATCAAACAGTCGCGGCGGCGACACCGGCAGCCACACAGACGTTGCAGCGCTCAGCACGATCCCCGGCGGTTCTCCTGGGTCGTCGACGCTCTTGCGAGTCATGACCCGAACATCCTCACCAACGTTGCCGGCGTTGAGCTTGTTCCACTTGTGCACCGTCGAGGCACAGACGCCGGCGCAGAAGTTGTTGGTCATGCGCTGCGCTAGCTTCAGCATGCTCCGCCGCCCGCCGGCGGTAATCGCTGCCGCAGCAAAACCAAAAAGGAAATCAGCCCCATGAAGTGAAGAATTAGTGAGGGTAGTGTGGTAGGTATGCACGCATACATACCAGAATGGTCTCGTGAAGGAACGGATGATGACATTAGAATGGCGAGGCATTCGCATTGACGCCGGAGGGTGGCGAGCCAGCGTTGCGCGCCAAAACCCAAGCCTGAACTTAACAAGGGTCTGTACAGCTCGTGAACTTGGCTTTCATCGTATTCTGCGTGCTCCACCCATGTCACCTGCATTTGCATGCAAATTCCCATTCCAAAAGTTTCAAACTTGAACACTCCAGTGTAAGGGATAACCTCATAGTTTTAAGTGATTACAATATGCTCGACTCCTTTGAAATTGCCCTCGGTAAATGAAAATTGTTTACGCTCCTATTCCATAGGTTATAACAAATTAGATTTAAGATAGGAAATTCATTCTTGCAGGCACAGAAGAAGAGGACAAGATCTTGAAAAAGGCCAGCCATGGCTACACCAGGATATTATACACACACACATATATATGTCCGCCTATTTTTGAAGAGTGAATGAAGAAAGATGAAATATAAATCTGTAGGTATCCGACGGAGCTGAAGAGAGTACATAAAATACTGCAACGGGAAAAAAAGTGAAGGAGGGTTTGGAGAAGCAACGAGCAGCGTGAAGAGAGGAAACAGGCATCGAGATTTGGTATAGCAGTGAGGTCATCCCAGATTCTAATATCACAAAGAGACAAAATAGACAGTCCTGCGTTTTGACCACAATATAATATCCGCACATGAATGGATCAATGGATCATGGCGCTGGAACCAGTCATGTACAGTGAATTGAATAATACCTCCGGCCAGAATTCCAAGACAGCATCAAATGGCGGAATAGAAACATCAAAAGCTTTGTTTATTCACTTCTGAAGATTACAAGGCAATTCGCTTGCAAAAAGGGTATATCCAACTAATGTGTTCCTAGGTCCGGAAATTCAAGTCGTAAAGGCTTCCATGAATATAATAAAGGATCAGGTTCTGTCATGGATCGAGATGCAGGTGTTTTTTCCCCCCAAAAAATTGAAGTCGGGGTTGGAATAATAAGAGAAGCAGAAGCACGGTATCTCAGTTGGAGATTCTTTGGGACTTACAGAAATATTATAAATTATATGTTGTTTGAATTGGGAATTAACACTGACAGAGTTCTTATATACTGAGCGGTCACTAGACAAGCTAGGTCTCGCTTAAATCCATGTGCTCTTTCTTCACTAGCTTGGAAAACCAAAACCCCTCGCGATTTTTGTCTTCTTCCATTTTTTCCTCACCCAACTATTCTCAACTATATATACTCCTACTCGTTTTTACAATTTTAATTACAAGATTTTATTTATAATTAAGATGGAAAGTAATACTATCATAAACGTAAATTTAACAATAACAATAATGCTCGTTCAATTCCAAATATAAAACTTATTTTATAGAACAAATTATAAAATAAGTTTTATATTTAGAACTGGAAAAATATTATATTTCACTTTTGAAAAATAACAAGAACAAATAATACTATCATAGCATAATTAACATTGTTAAAAAGATTAAAAGTCCGTGCTGCAATAAGAGGAGTAATATAAACTAATAGTAATAAATATATCAAGTAGTTTTGAAGGTTCAAAAATAGCAAGTATTTAAACTATGTAAATAACAAATTCATAACACGTTAATTTTTACAATATCCCGAACCTCCTGGAACTTACTTTCTCCATTTTGTTTATTCATTCATTCCCATTCTCAATGCCAATAATAATCTAATGCGTTTAATAATCAATGACCTGGTGTCAATTTACCAAGAAGACAAGCAAGTACTAGTTGGGGAAAACATCAATGCAAGTGGAAACAGGCGCAGGCTTGGTGAAAATAAAAATAAGGACAACACGAGGTCTCATTTTTTACTGTCTTCAAAAGCTTGGGAGACAAAAGCTACAAGCATAACTAAAAACACCACAAACTCGTAATAACAAAACAGGAACATCAGTGCAAGAAGAAGTTAGCCAATTAATTACCTTAGAGTAACCATTAGGCATGTCTTGAACTACACAGCCTGAGGGAAGCCTCCTACAATTCACAAAGTGTGGCGCACCACAATTTTCCCGGAGAGTATCAACCGAAACATCCACAATAGCCCACACTCCCTCCGCATGCTGCTTGCAGAAGCGGAGGAAATGGACCTCGCGAACTGGCACCAATGGCGAAAGAACTTGCAGCTCAGCATGCATCTGGCCAGCCATAAACAGTTTCAACGCTTTCTACTGATAAATCAACCACTGGAAAAGACAAAGTAGAGCTAATTCAAGTAGTGGAAGGTTGAATTTAGGTGGGACTCACTAGTTCAAGAGCACCATTCCTGGTTCCATTTATTCCGCCGGATATTACTTCAGTGGTTGAAGTTCTTGCAACCAAACAGGGAAACATCTCTGCCCAACGATTCTGTGTGAAAATACAGCAAACCAGTTTGAGAATAATTAATACTCTTTGAAGGGAATTAAGCACGTAGTCTTCAAATGTACTTTAATTTTATAATCAGTGATTCAAATAGAGGAATGATTGAGCAGTATAATTACCGAGTCCATCAATGTTTCGACGAGGGCCAAGCTGTTTATGATGACCATTCCAGTCTCCCTTGAGGCTTCAGAGACAAAGCCGTTAGGTTTTACGCCGATGCAAGGCGTGAAAGTCCTTGAGTACTCCTCATGGCTCAGGATTTCTCTCCCACCTTCCGGACTCCTCATCCATAGAGGCTCATCAGTCTGGGCCATCTTCACCAATTCATCCATGGCAGCCAAAGCAAGCTCTAGAAACATAGACCTCTCTATTGATCTTTCAAGAACGGCCGGTCTAGTCGGGGCAGCATGAGGAGGAGTTCCCATGGCTAAAGGGCTAGAAATCCCCACACCCAGGTCGGGCCCCATGGCCAATGTTGCGGTCACAGTGCTTATACCGCCAAAGCCATTGCTTCCGACTCCCAGCTCCAAACTTGAGTTCGCCAATGGAGGAGCCATTGAGTTGGGATATGAAGAAGCCGGACGGCCGAGGAACTTGCCGGCGAGGGCACAAACCCGGTCTAGTTCGTCCTTTAACCGGGCATTTTCCACCCGAAGATGCTGTTCTTCCAGTGAAATTTCTCCCATTATAGCTGGTCCCCCACAGTTTGAGCAAATGGGGTTCCTCATGGCGTCCCTAATGGACATGTTCTCAGCTCTAAGCTTGTCGTTCTCTTGCCTGAGCAGTGCGTTCTCATGGCGTTCCAATTGGGTCTGACAGAAGATTAAGAGAAATTTCACAATCCATCATAGCCCCAAACAAATACACATATAAAGGACCTGCGAGACTAACGGTACCTTCATCTGAGTTCTTCTATTCTGGAACCAAAATTTCACTTGCCTTGTTTCCAAACAAAGCCTCTTGCTCAGTTCCAATCTCTGCTTCTCATCCGGGTGAGGACACTCCTTGAACAAACTAACCCCATATGTGGAACAAAAATAAAAGCTTTATCAACTGTAGGAATAAAATTCGTTTCTAGTATTAAAAAATAATAAACTAATAAAATGAACTATACGCTTCAAGTTCTTGTATCTGTTGAGGGGTGTGTCGGTGATAGCGCTTTTTCCTGGGAGGGTGATCGGAGGCATCTTGGTCGTCGCCGGAAGCAACTTCCAGGTTATCACTTCCAGATCTGCTTTCTTGCTCTTCTTCTCTGCTTCTTCTTCCATTAACATTCATCTCGTAATTCTCAGACATTCTATTTCCGTCCCTGTGCCCATCTATATCCGTTTGCTGAAAATACAAAATAACCAAAAAGTCAGGAAATTGGGGGGAAGGGCTCAGGCAAAGAAAAGAGGGAGAAGAAGAAGATCCCACAAGGGCAAGTGAGAGGCCAGGAGAGTTGAACATGGTTTTAGCTGCGGGAGTAGAAGTGAGAAGGCGAGGCTGTGAGATTGCACCAGAGGGCATTCTAGAAGAATCGTTGCTGCTGTAAGGAGGAATATCTGGAAAACCCACAAAGCTCATCAAAGAAAAAGCTTCTTCGACTCTTCTTCTACGCAAATTTACGCACTGATTTCCAAGCAAGCTGCAATTGCTAGGCCTTGTTCCGCGATAAGCTTCCAACCCGGAAATTTTCAAACTAAAATATCAACTGGTTCTCCCCGAATTCTGCCTCGTAAATATACACACTCAAGAAGGCCAACAACAGCGAACCTTCATGCTTATAAAAATAATATTACTATTGACAGACGTAGAGAGATGTAGGGGGAGACAAAAGGATAAAGCCCAGTGGCTCGCCTCTAAGAAAAAGTCTTCTTTTTTTTTTAATTTGGAGAGAGAAAGAGAGGAATCCGTTCCTTCTCCAACCCACGCCGGGGGGACCTGGGGGCTTATGAGAGTAGTAGTTTCTGATGATGCTCAAATGAAGAGGGAGGGGAAGGATCAATATGGAACAACTTGAACCCTACTCCACAAAGTGCGTCATCGCTTTCTCTTGATGCATGCTTGACTATGGTAAGGTTTCAGAAGGATTAAAAAAATAGAGGGAAAAAAAGAGAGAGAAAATGAAACGTCTGTAGATTTGGACAGAGAAAGGGGAGAAGGAAGAGTGAGAGAGAAGGAAAAAGGGTAAAAGATAAAATGGAACATGTGGAGTCTTCGAAGCCTTACAAACATAAGGATCCAAAAAGGGTCGGTTGACTCTTGCAATCTCGTCACTTTCTTTCTCTCTCTCCTCCGTCTCCGTCTCCTTCTCCTTCTCCTTCTCTCTATCCCTGTGAGACTTGGGATCTGAAAATTGCTGCGATGCGCCTTTTTAACTTTTTGGCTGGCAGATAGGCAGATACCACACGAAAATGAAGTCACAAATTACCATCCCCATCCCATTTGCTGAGCCTTTGCGTGAATCCTTGCCCCTTGATTCTCCCAATCAGTGCTAAATCAGCTGACATGGGAACAAATTATTGCTTCCGTTCAACATCCCTTTTCTCCTTCGAATTGGAATTTTCTCCTCTGAACTTACTAGAACTGAAATCTAAGTTAACTTATTAATAACTCTCCTGTTTTACATGTCAAAATCTGTGAAAGAGCTGGTATTGGTGTTAGTCTGTTAGATGTAGAAAAATTAATTCACTTATCTTTTATATTTATTATTTCTTTTCAAACCAATTTATTTAACTCATAAATTAATAAATGATATAATATTATATAAGAATATGTTAGAGACTAATGACCACGTTTGGTACAATCAAGCAGTTTATTTAGTTTTTTAAATTTTTTTCAAATTAATTAAATACTACCTCCGATCCTAATTATAAGAGCCAGTTGAATAATTTGAGGAGATTAAAGAAGTAAGTTGAGTTAGTTATTTGTCTTAAATAGGTGTTGTTTTTCCTAAAATATATTTACTGATCAAGTGTATTTACTATAATTATTATTATTAGAAGGGCTATTCTGAAAAAAAAAGTATAAATATAAGAGACAAAGTAGATTGGGGTCTTATATTTATAACCAAAATAAAAATCAAACAGGATCTTATATTAGAGACCGGAGGTAGTAGTTGTTTCATTGATGATCTGAATATGAATAAGTAATATAAAGATAAATAACTTACACCTTTAAAATTTATTTTTCTTATATTGCAGATTCATATTTTTCCCCAAAAAAAGAAAAATACTTCCTCCCGTGTATAAGCAGCATTATCTCACCGAGGATTGGTCCTATATGCCAGCAACATTTTGTATTTGATTAGAAATTTAATGCATTTTTTATTTTTATTCGCAACTAATCATATATCTTTTTTAATTTCCCTTTTCCACTCATTTTGCCCGCCTCTTTTTCTATTCATTTTCTCACTGGTCATCTTCGTAAAGTAGGGTATATTTGAAGGAAAAAATTACATACATTGCATGTTTATTATTTTTAATTAATTTTAATAGCGCCTTGATAGATATGATTCATGCAGTTACTTAACGGTGCTATACTTCTATGGCGGACAAGTCCTGCTATACTCCTATTAGATGAAAAGTGAAACGTGAAAAATGTGTTTGATTCGCGTTATCGGAGGTGCTTTGCTCCTTTCAATAAACCCCCTTTATAATCTGCCCGTACACAAGACCGGATGAAGTGTGAGCATTATTCTATTATGTTAGGTGTCTTAATCAGTTAAATTGATGTAAGTTGTTGCTAAAATATTTCTGTAATATGTCCATGTTTGCTCCCAATCAATGGTTCTTTGTTTTGTCAGCGTCTTTAAAGCCTTTTACTTGACCATTTTCAAAACCTGGGTGATGACGAGACCACGGCCAATTAGAATCATGTTTGAAATACTACTTCCAATCCTAATTATAAGAGCTGGTTGACTAATTTAAAGAGATTAAAAAAAGAAGTTAAGTTAGTTATTTGGAATAAATATATGTTGTCTTTCATAAAATATTCTTACTAATTAAGTGTATTGGCTATAACTATCATTGTCAGGAGGACTATTTTGAAAAAAATATACAAATATGAGAGACAAAGTGAATTGAGATCTTATATTTAAAACCAAAATAAAAATCAAATAAGATCTTATATTAAGGATTAGAGGCAGTAATTTGTAAACATGTTTTATATAGATTGAAATAAAATCCTTCTCATCCGTTTACTTGGTATTCTATGAGCCATACGTTAAAAGATTTAATTGGAACAAATTAAAAATGATCATAATAGATTTTATCAAAGAAAAAAAACAAAATAATAGAAATTAATTACTACGCAGCTTATTAATAGGGGCCAATTTGAGCTAACAATGAGCTACACGTTAATTGGACGAGTAATTACAAAATCATAATCGAAGGCGGCGACAAGGTACACATGCATTGTCATTTGAGATGAGGACATCCTCTCCGCACATACTGACAACAACAATCAGATTCAAGTGTACGTACGTGTAAAAGTAAAACCTTCATTCATTAAAATAATTAAGCCATGAAGATACACACACTCACGAGGCTTTTCTCTTAATTAGCGTGGCCCCGCCCCTACTAATTAAAATCCACTCTTGCCTCCATCCCTGTACAACTCAACCCGCCACTCATTGGCCTCTGCAGTAGCTTTTACGTCACCTACGTTTCTTATAAAACCAGCCATTTTCAGATTTACCGGTCAACAACATATAACTGACAATTACGGTGTTAGCCAATTCGGGCCTCTTACTTTTTTTTTTTAATTTTAAAAACTATTTGGTAAACCAATTTTCAACGGGAAAAACTATTTGATTATATTAATTTAAAAACCGACAAGAGTTAAAGGGAAAAAAATTGAAAATAACAAGCTGCAATACTAACCTAACAAGGTGACAGGAATTTTTTAGTAGCTAAAGGCAGTCTGTTCTTAACAAAATCAAAAAGGACAAAACTTGGGTGGAAAATGTTTTAGAGAGTCATTTTAATATAGAACATTACTTAAACAATTTTTTTTTGTTTTTTAAAAAGTTGAAAACAATTAAATTAGAAATTAGGTGAGTACCTTCGAGATGTTTTTTTTTTGGGTTGAAAAATCATCACATGGGCCCAAGGCCCAAATCAGAACATAGCCGAACAAAAAGGAATGAGAGAAGAACAAACTATAGCTAATGGCCGAAACGTCCTAAAAAGACCAGAGAAGGCCGAGGGATTAGGATTTGGGAGTGATTTGATTTTATATTGACGTGAAAAAAAAACAAAAAAAAATCAATAGCATCAAATTTTAATGTGGACGTAAAATGATATAGAAGGGCCTTTTTTGTAGCTTTCACCGACTAACATAAAGGGAGAGATGAAGAGCAGGTGTGAAAGGGAAGAGCAGGTGAGAATAGGAATGGCCTTCGCTCAAGAAATGGACCACACAAATGGAAGAAAAGAGGAAAGGGGGGGGGGGGGGGACAAGTGACTCATGAAGATAGTATTTGGGATTTAAACTCCGCAGCAGCAGGAATGTTCGTTTCCCAACTTATTTCCTCGTCAATAAAATTACAGCCGACAACTTGTTAGCTGAACCCTAAAATATCTAATTTCATTATGAAGGTCATATGGAAGTGGAAAATTGATGGAAGGCATGGAGGGCACGTGGAGGGCTAATAGAAAGACAGCTCACATCCATTCCTCCCGCTTTCATTTGTTGACCTTTTTCTTTTCTCTCCCTCCCGCCTTTCCCTGTCTTTGACTTTCGCAACTCCCCATTCCTAGCCGCAATATCACGTTCACGCCACGCCCCTTTTTGTAACCGTCATCATACTTTACTAATTTATGACATTTTGTTATTTGACACATCGTTCATACATTCTGATTCTTGTTATACTGTGGACTTGCATGATCACCTTTGATATGAATAATGGGCTTTCATTTTGTCATGGTACGCACATCATGGCCCTTCTTCCTTCCAAGTGTAAGATTGTAAGTTACATTTTGGGCCTTAGTGCTCTCATTAAACTTTGAGTGTGTGTGCCTTTTTTTTTAAAACCCAAAGTTATATTGTCTTTAAACGAAACTCTACCTAACATGATATCACATAAATTAGATCAAATGCCTTGCCATTGACTTGGATTGAACCCCGAATTCCTGCTTAAAACTTTTGTGCGGAAAAAACGCTGTTCTCTTTAAATTACCCAAGTTATTTTCCTGTTTGAGTAGCGCCAAAGTTCATTTTCAAGTGGAAAGTCCCAACTCCCAAGCCAATTACCCCCGCTTTGTCCTCTCTCAGACGAGCGCACCATCCAATTCCCGGGTGGGCACAGGCTATCACTATTACTCCTTCTTCAGTGCTCTTCCTCATTTGAGATCTCTTGAGGTACATGAATGTGAGGGATTAAAAACTTGACGGGATTTTCAACACCGAAAATCTTGTTCATCTCATGTCCTTAAAGGTCACTGGATGTGAAGGGCTAGAAAAAATTGCCGCGGAACAGAATGACGAGGTCGAAATAACGCATGACAGGATCTTGCTTTTTGTTGATTATGGTTCTACTTGATAGGAAGTGTAGTTGCAATGGGCTTTTAAAGATAAGCCTTACAGCATTAGCAAGATTGCAGGACGCAGATCATGTCCCTGACAATTGTCCGTCTCTCTGGATGTGCAGTTCAAATCTCTTTTCAGCAACTGAAGTTTTCTGGGAATCCTGGGGTAGAAGAAATGTGGCATGGGTTCTCTTGCTATACAAGAGCTTTTAAAATTGGATAAACTTGGCCATGAAGAATTGTGAATTTGTATCTGACGTAATTGGGAGAAATGGAAGTTCAAAGTTGCATGTCAGAGGTGCTGTGGCGGGAAAATTTGATGTGAATGGAACTCGGTGAAGGTAAAATCCCATACGAAGAAACTGATTTTAGATTAGGCGCCAAAGACGAAGCATGTACGGAACAAGAATCCTCAAGGGATGTTGAGCTTGGAAAATCTTGAAGTGGCTGTCATTAACTGGCGAGAAATCCTTTCAAACTTAAGGTTCTAGTGGAAACATATTGATAGAGCTCTTTTACTGGTCAAAGCTATGAAAGTTAAAAACTAGGAAAGTACATGAAAAGGGAAAGTCACCATTTGTGTGTTATCGTGTAGAGTTTGTGTGGGTGGCTTGTATCTTTTCTGTTTGTTTTGTGTAATGTTCTTGCACCAGCGACGCGTATTGTTTCCTAGTAATGTATTTTTAGCTTAATTTTCCACCACTTGTGTGTAAGTCTGTTGTTCATATAGATGTATCTGAAAGTGTTAGTATTTGTGAAGGGTCGTATCACATATGAAGAAGGAGATATTGAACAGTTGGAGTTGCCAAGTTTAACCAAGATGCATCTAAGCATGCTGCCTGAACGTTGCAATCTGTGCATCTTTATCGTTGTGGGAGGCTGCCAAAGTGACCAATGAGTAATTGCCGAGGATCTTGATTCATAAATAAACCCTTTTCTCTGTTATTTACACCTATGATTCTGGACCTTCTTCCTTCTGCTTCTTAGGCTAGTAGCCGCAGGAGCAAACGAGGAAGGGGCTATGATGTTAAATGCAACAAAGACAATGTTTGTGGAAACTTGTCCCTCGCTCCACAAATGAAAGCTAGTACAGTCTCTGATATCCTTTCCCAATCTTCCAACTATTACAATACAAATTAGAGGTGTTTGGCAACCTTCAAAATATGGTTTCAGAAGTACTTTTTCACGAAATGAGACAAATTCCTCCACATATTTACTTCGTAAACCGTAAAAACACTTCTGAAACCATAGTTTGGTTTCTATTCAAACACCTCCCTAACGAATGCCTCCACACTGGAATATTTATTTACTACCCCATGCTCATGATAAGTCAGGGTGTGCAATATGTTTAAGAAAATTGATCAGGTACGCAGGGATAATAATATTAACTACACGTCTCTATAAAAAAAAAAAAAAACTTTTTATATATTGATGAGAGGGTTCTGGCTGTAGCCTTGTAGGTCAATCGACTTATCCTGACTAGCGCCTGCAGAGTCCCAGCATCAATGGCGAACGCTCTGCCCCCCATTTTGGTTCTGGGTCCCCCAATGATCTTCCCACATTTCCAATCCCGATACTCTCACTCTTACAACTTCCTCGGTTTCTTCACCTCTTCCCTTCCCCTTCCCCAATTCCTCTCCTCCCTCACATTCATCCCTCTTCCGTTCGCGCCATTCTCTGCAACCCTTTTCAACGGGTCCCCACCGATCTCCTCCGCTCTCTCCCCTCCCTCGGCCTCATCGTCACCACCAGTACCGGCACCGACCACATTGACATGGCCGAGTGCCGCCGCCTCGGCGTCCGGGTCGCCACCGCGGCGGAGCCTACACCGACGATGTCGCGGACTTGGCCGTCGGGTTGCTGGTTGATGTCCTGATGCGGATTTCCGCTGCTGATCGATGTGTGCGGAAATTGATTCTATCTGAGGAGCCCCGGAATATTCCTCCTGCTTCACGGGTAACTAATCTGTCCATTATTGCTGAAATAATCTATGTAGTATTTAGGAGGTGCATAATTTTAGGCTAACCTTTTAAAAAACTTGTATTGCCTACAAGAGGAGTAGGCCTAAACCATCAAACCCACTAATAGTGCGAGGCAAGCGATGAATGAAGACTCAAATTATTTGTTTCAGGTGGGAGGCAAGCGAGTGGGAATAGTTGGGTTGGGGAAAATAGGGATGGAAGTTGCAAAAAGACTCGAACCCTTTGGCTGCAAAATAATGTACAATTCAAGAACCAAGAAAACTTCTGCGCCATACCTATTTTACGGCAGCGCCGTTGAGCTGGCTGCTAACAGCGACGTTCTTGTTCTGTGCTGTGCATACACAGAGCAGACTCATCACTCATCACGTAGTGGACGCACAAGTGATGGAGGCACTGGGAAGAGAGGGAGTGATAGTGAATGTGGGAAGAGGAGGCCTGATTGATGAGAAGGAACTGGTGAGGCGTCTGGTGAATGGGCAGATTGGAGGAGCTGGCTTGGATGTGTTTGAGAATGAGCCTCATGTCCCCACTGAACTCTTCTCTTTGGATAATGTAGTGCTTTCCCCGCATGCTGCCGCAAATACCCCCGAGTCTTTCAGTCAGATATCGGACCTTGTTGCTGCTAATCTGCGTGCCTTCTTTGAAGATAAACCCTTGCATACTCCAGTCATGGAGGACTGAAGGATTAAGATTATTTACGGTGCTGTATTTTAAGAGACATCCGCTGCTAAGATGTGTATTTACTGTAAGGCGATGCATATAAACATGAGATGTGGATCTCTTACAGTGAATGTCTGAATCGTGATTGCATATTAATATAAAGCATTCAATTTGGCAATTGAAGATATTTCACTTTCTTTTTCAGATATTAGTCGAATTATACATAATATGATTACAGCTCTCTCATTGTTAATTTGCACGTTATTCCACTAATTAAATGTGAAAGAGAATTCATATACTTATGATTCAAAGTTTGTTGGAGCCTTGTAAATGTGGACATCAGCTAATATTAAAGAGGTTATTGTGATCAGCTCAGAGTTGAAGCAGTGTTTAATAGAAATTCCAACTCCAAATGCACTGGATAATTAATCTCAACAGGGGAGATTACCAGGCTTCATAATAATAGAAGCCCTCGTATAATGTGCGTTCTTCAAACTCCTCGACATTCTTTACGGCTCATTTACTCAATTCCCAGGCCATTCCTCTTCTCGGCCCGTTCCAAAGAAGCCCTGTGATGCCAGTTATCTGCACAAAAAAAAAATTGGCCCATCACACGCTTCTGGTCACTTCTTCTCAGTCCTGGGTGTCTTCTTCTTCTTCTTCTTCGTGTCTATTGAGCTGCTTTTTCAGGAGACATCTCTTTCTCTCCAAAAAACAATGTCGAAGAAAATATCTTGATGCGGCATTTAATGCTATGCGTGGCTGCCATTTGGATTTGATGACTCAGTTCTCAGTTCTCCGACTTCCATGAGACAGAAAATGCAATGGCCTCCCAACATCACACAAGTTCCTAATCTCATAAACATCCTCCAAAGTCCAAAGTGAACAAGAGAAAATAACTATTTGCATATATCCCAAATCGTTGGGAGAATTGCTTCTAGTTGAGCCTATTATGCTCAAATTTAACCCCATAATACTCTTTATATTGAATAGGTAGGTCAAAAAAGCAACTTGAACGAATATTTATATGCATGAACAACTTTTACCGTGAAGTGTAGAAGAAGGAAATGAACTACAGAGTCATTTGTGCAGCTTTCAGCTATACATAGCACGCCGATCATTCATTCTCCACCTTCTTCTACACAGAACCAACTTCGTCTTCCACTCCACTAACGCAATTAACTTAAAGTGCCTCAAGTTGAGAAATTTCTTCAGCACCAAACTAACTAAATCTGTCATCCGCCTAGAAGTCTTTATAATCAACACAAGAACAAAAACAGAGACAAGGATGTAACTGATATCAGACTGCCCGGTGTATTATAAAAAGTATGCTGCAAAATACTGAGACCGAGTAGGAGGCATGCAAAACGCTGAAACTCACACACAACACAGTATTTTAAAGCGATAGGATACATCGCGTATTTTGTGGTGTATCCAGCATTCCAAAATATCTTTTAGGTACTTCTAGTACCTTGAAATATGTACTAAAATAATATTTTTAAATGTTGAATGTACTAAAAAAAATGCATTAAGGTGCTTCACAGTACTAGACGCATCTAAAAAATATTTCAAAATATTGAATGCATTATAAAATACTTTAAAGTGTTGAATGTATCTGAAAAAATAATTTGAGGTACTGAATACACCTTGTGTATTTAAATACCTCATCAATCACTAATACATTATTTTTGGCCAAAAAACAAATCATATGGTGCAAAGGAATCTTGTCCGTCTTTCGTATTTTAAAATAGGGTGATTAAGGAACACACAGAATGAAACGGCCTAAAGCACATGGGTAAAATATCGGCTATTTGTCATGTTGAATTGAATTGGATTAATGGGGTTTCGTTCTCGTCTTCTAGGTCATGTGACTCCTCCTGACTGCTACACTGACTCGGCATCTCTCCTCTCTTCTCTTGTTGTGAAGGCCCATCAATGGCGAACGATCTCCCGCGCATACTAGTTCTGGGTCCTCCACTGATCTTCCGAGATTTCCAATCCCGATACTCTCACTCTTACAAATTCCTCAACTTCTTCGCCTCTTCCTTTTCCCTTCCCCAATTCCTCTCCTCCCTTAGCATTCATCCCTCTTCAGTTCGCGCCATTCTGTGCAACCCTATGCAGCGGGTCCCCGCCGATGTCCTCCGCTCCCTCCCCTCCCTCGGCCTCATCGTCACCACCAGCATGGGCACCGACCACATTGATATGGCCGAGTGCCGACGCCTCGGCGTCCGGGTGGCCACCGCGGGTGGAGTCTACACCGAGGATGTCGCCGACTTGGCCGTCGGGTTGCTGATTGATGTTCTGATGAGGATATCCGCTGCTAATCGATGTGTCCGGAAATTGCTTCGATCTGAGGAGCCCCGGAACACTCCTCCGGCTTCACGGGTAATCCTTTTTTTTTTTTTTTTTTGCCTCTTCTGTGCATTTTTGCTGAAATAATCCTTGCACTGTTTAGGTGGTCCATACCTAATTCTTTTTTTTTAAAAAATCAAACTCATTAGAATTTTTACTCCCTCGTCTCTCCATTCCCCTCTCCCTCGTACCAAATAAAGGGATGAAAATGCGTATTAGCCAAACACTGAATGAAGACTCCAGTGATTTGTTTCAGGTGGGAGGCAAGCGAGTGGGAATAGTTGGGTTGGGAAAAATAGGGATGGAAGTGGCGAAAAGACTCGAACCCTTTGGCTGCAAAATAATGTACAATTCAAGAACCCCGAAAATTTCTGTGCCATACCCATTTTACGGCAGCGCCGTTGAGCTGGCGGCTAACAGCGACGTTCTTGTTCTGTGCTGTGCATTGACGGAGCAGACTCATCACATAGTGGACTCACAAGTGATGGAGGCACTGGGAAGAGAGGGAGTGATAGTGAATGTGGGAAGAGGAGGCCTGATTGATGAGAAGGAACTGGTGAGGCGTCTGGTGAATGGGCAGATTGGAGGAGCCGGTTTGGATGTGTACGAGAATGAGCCTCACGTTCCCTCTGAACTCTTCTCTTTGGATAATGTCGTGCTTTCCCCACACGCTGCTGCACTCACCTCTGAGTCTTTCAATCAGATATCGAACCTTGTTGCTGCTAATCTGCGTTCTTTCTTTGAAGACAAACCCTTACTTACTCCCGTCATGGAGAATTGAAGGATTAAGATTATTTACATTCACACAGTAAATGTGCATGCTGTATTTCAAGAGTCTTGCGCTTCTAAGATGTGCGTTTACTGTAATTGCTCTGTTCTGCCAGCCCAAACCAGATTAAGCCTTTTGTTTGACATCCACAACAATCAATAAATGGAAAAAGAGATGTTGAATATAAAGATGAGGTATAGATCTCTCATAGTGAATGCATGAATCGTGCGTGTATATGAACATAAACTTCACTTTCTTTTCCACCGCGAGTCACACATAGGGGGTATTTGGATTAATGAAAAAGTGTCTCTTAGGAGTATTTTTTTTGTAAATCGAGACATATTTCTCTATGTATTTACTTCGTACATTATAAAATTATTTTTAAAACCATAATTTTGTTTTTACCCGAACACTCTCATAATCTTCTTGGAAATTGGATTGTGCGCATATATCCGCTGATTAAATGTAATAAGATAGAGAATTCATATGCATATGATTTAGAGTTTCGTGGTGTTGTAACGAATGCAAAGTTTAACCAGTGTTTAATAAAAATTCCAATTTCAAATATACTTGGAGAGTGTTTGGATAACATGAGAAGTGCTTTTAAAAAACACTTTTTTATAAATCGAGATAAACTTCTCTACATATTTACTTCGTATACCGTAAAATCACTTCTGAAACCATGGTTTAGTTTCTATCCAAACACCTTCTTGGTAGTTTCAACCGGAAAAGTTACATGGCTTCAAAATAACAAGAATGAGAACTCATAAAGAAGGGGCCTGCGCTGCCACAGAATCACGCAAAGAATAGGAAATAAGAGAAGAGAAACTCCACAGTCACAAAATTATGGCCAGAGAGAAGAAGAAGGGCGGGGCCGCGTTGTTGTGAGGGAGCAAATGCAACCCCTCACGGTGGGGAATATTACATTTTTGTGTTGTAAACAGTACTTGTTTGGTTCTAAATATAAGACACATTTTATAATATAAATTACACTACAAAATGAGTCTCGGAGGAGTAGTAGTTTATACCTAAACCCCTTGATATTTGGAACCACCAATCGTTGAATTTTAATATTTGGCCACTGCGAAGAAGAGGGAGGCAACAAAATTCATCCGCACCCTTCTCATAGCACCTTCTACTCATATAATCTATGTTCTTCAAACTCTTTCACATCCTTTTCGGCCCATTCCAAAGCAACACAATAAATAAAATTTGGCCAATCACATACTTGTAGTCGCTCCCCCCTATTAGTCCTCGTTCTCTTCTTCTTCTTTGTCGGGTCTGTTGAGCTGGTTATTCAGTACCGGGCTTTCTCTTTCTCCCTATCAAACAATGTCGAGGAAAATATCTTAATGTGGCATTTAATGTTTCATGTGGCTGCCATTTGGAAGACGCAATGCCCTTCCAACATTCCACAGTTTCCTAATCTCATAAACATCCTCCAACTTCTTTAAGTTAACAAGAGAACACAACAATTTGTATACATCCCAAATGATAAAGTAAGTTGATGGCCTTGGGCGAGTTATTTCTAATTGAACCGATTATGCTCAAATTGGTATATTAGATAGTTATACCAAAAAAAAAAAAAAAAAGAGGAGCTTGGATGAATATTTATATGCATCAACAACTTTTACAGTCCAGTGTAGAAGAAGGAAATGAACTGCGGAGTCATTTGTGCAACTTTTACCTATACCACGCTAATCATTCATTCTCCACCTTCTTCTACACAAAATCAGCTTCTTCTTCCACTCCACGATCTTAATTTGCTAGCCTCCTAAATGTCTTTCTAATCAACACAAGAACAAGGAGAAGGAACTTTATCGAGAAATCAGTTCAACCAAAAAAAAAAAAAAAAGACCTCATCAGGAAATCAACATGGATGACACTTGAAGGTATTCTCACGCAATGAAAATTTAACCAAACCTTGAATAGTATAAATGAACTTGCGATCCATAATATAAGTATACGAAAAATAAAAATGAATAATTAGGTTTAAGAAGCTAAATTACCGAGATTAATGTCTGCTCTGTACTACTAGCCCAAAACAGAGGAAGCCTTTCCTTTCACATACAGGTATTCATTATTGTTGAGTCATATCAATTTAAGGACTACAAATTATAGAGACTAACTTTTTAATGTTTATATAGCAGCGTAGAGATTGATCTAAAACTATTATAAAGCATGGGGACAATTTAAGAATATTAAATATGTTGTGGATCATCCATTGAACATATGGATATGGAGCATATATATATACATATATATCCAAAAAATTCAGAGGAGTAAGTAATTGAAAAAAAGGGAAAGAATATATATAACTTCTGACTTGGATTATGTTACAATATCAGTCACCAGAAATAAAAATGACAAACAAATAGCTTTTTAGCTGATTCCCCTAATGTCGCTTATTATTCATTTCGAAAATGTCACGTCGGAAGCGCGTGCAGTACTCAACATCGTGTATATGAATACAGAAATTGGCAAGTGATGACGCTGACATTATCTTTATATAATATTGATCTAAAATAAATCACAGTGCCATCAACATATATAATCCAATATATAGGCATTGTAATTTTAAGTTACGCTTGGTATATCATTAATGCGCACCAAAATTGTAATATAAAACATTAATTTATTATATTTTATCATTACTTATCCCAAATTATTTTATACCACTAAAACCCCACTCCTCCCACGTACTAATGCCTTATACTCCCTCTAACCTTTTTTTTTTTTTTAAAGGGCGATCAGCCATCTCAAATATATTAAATAATTTAGTTAAAATTGATTAACTGAATTGAAAATCTTAAATTGTAATTTTTTCCCCCAAAAATTACCCTCGTCCAATGAAATCATTAAATTGATGTACTTGTATCTTCATTCAGTCACTCCAGAAAAGGGCATTTTGAATTAAAAAAAAAATTAAAGATTCAGAGGGAGTACCCAAGACCAAAGTTATAGTATCAGATAAAGTTGTTGGCGGCGGGAAACTTGCCTTCAATTGTTGTAAGGAGAGCATTAATGTTTGGGATTTAGGCAAATAAGGAAATGAAGAGAATATCTTCGACGTTGAAAACCCTATATATGCATTATATTATACGTATCTAATTAACTACCAATAGGTCATGAGACAGCCATTCATGTTTTTTTCAGTAGTGACAAGAATGAGAAGAGTTCAGTGAATTCATGTACAGATGGAGCCCATGCAATCAAACACTCCCTTTATTCCCACAAATTGCACTTCATATCTATTCTGGGATTCTTTCAAACACTGACACAGGTAATTGCAGAGACAGAGGCCCACCCCTCTCTCTCTTTGGTTTTTCTGCTATCCCTTTTTCCCCCCCTCTTTGAGACCCAAGGAAGCAGCTCCTTTAACTTTATGTGATGTCAGCTTCTAAGTTAGATGTTTTTCTCTTGTAGCCACCTTGAGAAAGCATCAAGGGTTCCTGGGTCTGCCCTGTAATGTCTCTGTGTGAACTCCAAAAGTTTTGGCCACTTGAAGTCTGGATATACTCTTGGATTTTCGTCGCTGACCAGAAGCTCCGGAGGTCTCACTACTTTGTCCCATCTTGGACACAGAAAGAAAGCAAGCGATTTCCTCACACTTGTTTTGTTCACCACTGCTCTGTGCAAGCAACTCTTATATATGCCGTTTGATAGAGCCTGACATTGTCAAATAATAATCACAATTAATGTTACCTTAGTTTCTTTAGTTTATCACCATTTGATAAGTTGCTGCATGTCTACCAAAAACCAAAAAAGACAAACTTTCTGCAATCGGAAGACACTTTCCAGCTCCATTTGTACGTTATATTTTAATTTGTACAAGGGAAAGAAATATTTATATGTATTGGTGAACCTTTCCCATGAAATGAGTCGTATCATTATATCAATCTCTTTCCGGTTACGCAGCCGCCAGATGCATTGTCTAACTTTGAAATCTTTTTGATGCTAAATTAACAACGCTAATAATAATAATAATAGTAATAGTAATAGTAATCTGATAATAATAGAATATCCATGTGTTTAGTTCCGAGAATGATGTCACCGAGTGCTTGACATATCTTAGACACAAATGAAAGATCTTATTTGGAATGCGTCCAGATTTTGGAATTGAAATGTAGTTCTCGTTCATCGGATTAAACCCACAAACAGGTTTGAATGTCTAATAGTTTATTTAACGGGTTAGTCATCTGGTGTTTAGCAGGAGAAGCATACCATAAAGGTGTCGCCAATGTTGATGACGAAAGCATTAGGGTTAGGAGCAACTGAATGCCATGTTTGATTGGCAAGCACATGGAGACCTCCAACTTGATCTTGATGAAGAATGGTGAGCGAAGTGGGGTCGCAGTGGGGCCCAGTACCAAGAACAAGGTCAGGGTTCTGGCATGGCGGGTAGTAATTCAGTCTCATTATGGAATCGTTCTCTTTGAAGAAGTCTCTGAAGTGGTTGCACCCAACTCCCAGGCTCATTCCCAGAAGCTCCATTATTCCAAGCGACAAATTGCTCATGGCTTCACAGTATTCTTGATACAAATTCCTGAACCAAATAAATGTTAATTTCAAACACAACATTTCTTGTCAGAAGAAAGCTAATAATTATACATCAAGCTACCAAGAACATCAGTTGAATATTTGTGTAGATTTGGTTTATAAAATGATATGTGTTGAAGTAATAGAAGATGATGATGATGATTAAAAATTAAGAAGAATTACATCTTCAATGATTCTTACCCGAATTCCCTGAAATCTTCTCCCATAATGTCCACAAAATACTCTTCAACTGTTCTTTTCACGAACTGGTCATCGTCTGCGGCAGCGAAATACCTGAAAGACATTGTCTCTTTCCATGGAAGATTGGAGGAGAATCTTCCAGTGAAGCTACTGGCATAGCCAATATGCTCCCCGAGCTTCCTCTGAGCCTTCTGCTTCTCACACAGCTTCATGCCGAAGAACCTATCCATGAACTCATGGGCTTGGGCTATAAGCCCAGCATCAACCCCATGGTTAACCACAAGGAAGAATCCATGGCTCCTGCAAGCTTCTCTCACCAGAGAGCATGCCTTGGCCATGGCCACAGGGTCCCGAGAGAGAAAGCCCGTCAGGTCAATCGGAGGAACTTGGAGCTCTGGTGGGCTCAGGCATGGCTTCTCATGGTCAGGCCATATGAACTGAGAAGGTATTGGAGATACATACTTATTCAGAACAGAAGCATCAAAAACCAAAGATTCTGATAAACCTTCTTTATTCCTGCATTCTTTGTGGTCTGCAGGATTTGGAGGTGAAGGAAGAAGAAGCACTGGTGCAGGAGGAGGCATTGGTAGAATTTATTGAAACTCAGAAGAGTGCTGTGTTAGGATCAGTGAAGAAAAAAGGGAAGAGGAAGAGCTTGATTAATAAAGAAGGAAAATATTAATGGAGTTTGAAGAAAAGCCAAGAGAAGGCATCGGGGAAGTCGGGGAACACAAACGGGAATCTTAAGATAAAACTTGTTTGCTAGCTTATGCTCTCTCTCTATCTCTCTCTGTATGTGTGTATATAAAACTCTCACTATATGAATACATAGATATATGGATTAGTGCAGCATGTCCACTATATATAGCAATCAGGAGGCACTATTTCGTATCGTGCAAGTGGCAAGTTAATGCATTCCACAGATGAAGGAAGCTAACTTTCCCAATTATCAGTGGATTCTAGTTAATTTATATCATATTTCATTACAGTGTTTTGTGATCTTTGATTTGTCTAGAATTAGTACCTTTAAGGTCGGATTTTTTTTTTCAGTCAATAAAAATATTTCACTATTTGTATGAACCATGTAATGCTTTTGGTAAATTTTAAGTTTTAAAGTCTGTTTGGAATAGTTTATAAATAGTTTATCAATCGTAATTTAAAAAATACGAGGTAAATACGTGAGAAGAGTTTTGTCTCGACTTACATAAAACGTGCTTATAAGTGATTTTAATCGTGATAGCAAACAATGTCTAAATGTATATTTGCAAAGTGAAAATAAAAGGAAATGGAAAGTGTTCTGTGCAGGAAGTAGACTCACAGACTTCATCAATTTTAGACAAAATTACCGTAGAGAAAAATATTCTAAATATATTTAATTATAATTTATATTGTTCTTTTTGAAAAAAAAATGTACCAGAAATTACCTAAAATTTTTTATAAAAATATGTTTGAAAAATTAGAAGCAATTAAAAAATTAGCAGCATGTACGTTCAAGAGCCCAGAAAAAAAATAAAGGTGTATATAATATAACAGACAAATATTTATAATAAACACAAATGAAAAATAAGAAATCTCTCTTGATGTAACAAAATAATACTACCTCCGGTCCTAAATATAAGAGCTAGTTGACTAATTTGAAGAGATTAAGAAAATAAGTTAAGTTAGTTATTTGTAATAAATATGTATTGTCTTTTCTAAAATATCCTTACTAATCAAGTGTATTGATTAGAACTGTCATTATTTAAAAAAATACTTTAGGAAAAAAATACATAAATATGAGAGACAAAGTGGATTAGGGTCTTATATTTAGAATCAAAATAAAAGTCAAACGAAATGTTATATTAAGGACAAGAAGTGGTATAAGAAACCTTTGTTGAAAAAGAGCTTAACAGAAGACAAATCTTCCAGCAGATGTCCTACGAAGCCAAAACAGAAAAAATTATAAAAACAACACATGACGAGGTTGTAAGGAAGCATCTTGAAAAAGAAGTTACGATTTGGAATACAAACCATCAAACAAACAAGGTTATTCTGACGGCATATCCCAATATACAATACTCCTCTACTCCTTAATATAAGAGCTATTTAACTAATTTAATTAGATTAAGAAAGTTAGGTAATTTAGTTAATTATAAAAAAAATGACATGCTTTTTCCAAAACACTATAATTATCTTCCGTAATATCTTTCCTTCCTCTTCTACTTGATTATGGTTGAGGGAGTATCTATAGGGATAATTTAGAAAAAATTGATAAATATAAGAGATAGGTCTTATATTTAGAATTAAAATCAACTCAACAATTAGATCCTATATTAAGGACCGGAGGAGTACCACATTCAGTCCTCAATATAAAACCTAGTTGACTAATTTGGAGAGATTAAGTAAATTAGTTAAGTTAGTTATTTATAATAAATAGATGTTGTCTTTCTTAAAATACCCTGGCTAATAACGTATTTTAGTTAAATTAAAACTACCTTTGATAAAACATTTAATATATGTAACTACTATAAGAATTATTTTGAAAAAAATGCATACATATAAAAGATAAAATGGATTGAAGTTTTATATTTAAGACCAAATTAAAAGTTAAAATAACTCTTATATTAAAAATCGGAGGTAGCGTCTAAAAATTTATCCATGCTTCATTAGAATGACTAACCTAATATAATACCCGCCCAAGTCTAATATGTATATATATGCTGCATGCGTGGAGCTAGCACTGAGAATGAGTAATTATGTATCAGCTTGGCAATTGAAAAACTAGACACTGTTTTCATTGAGATTAGATATATTAAAAGAATTTGAACTCTAAACCTCCATTCACGTCTCATCCTTACTTAATACCACCTTTTCACATTCTAAATTTTTTTATATCCTTATTTACAATTGAAAAAATAACCCAAAAAAGACTAAAAATTACTAAATTCCAAATTAGATTTGGTGATAACACTTTATTTAGTTTTGACAATACTGAATTTGCAGTGATAGCAAATTTTTATTGAAATTCTTTATTTAACATTTAGTAATTTTCAACTTCTTTTTTTTTTGTCATCTTTTCTTTACAATTTATAATTTACATGCATTGCACCGCGTTTTGCTGCTAACGATCCTATCCACCACTGGTTACATGACATAATGGTTATGCCTCCTTAATGCCACCAAAAAAAAAAAAAAAAAACCAAAGAAAAGGACCTCCAGTAAGGAGGTCAGGGGAGAGGCAGCTTTGGCATCAAGGAGAGACAACCATTGTGTCATAAAGAAGATCCCACAGTGATGGGTGGAGCCACTAGGAGTGAAGATGTTTTGTAATGTATGTGGAGACTGTTTGTTAAAACAGTTTTCATAAATAACCAATTCTTTTAATATTTATAAAAGTTAGTTATGTAGTTACTACGAGAAGCGACACCACAAAGGACAATGAGAAGCAACTAGGGTGAAGCAGATGCTTGGGATGTTCTCAAAACTCATTATTGGGCCAATTCACTGAATTAATCTTGCAAATTGGCAATTTGTTATTGCAGATTTAATGGAACCAGAATCTTTCACTCCAAACTGCAAAGCTTCCAAGAAAACTATAAATAATATTCATTTGAATTTTAATATATTACTCTATATATATATATATATATATATATACTCCTCCGGTCCTTAATATAGGACCCAATTGTTGAGTTGGTTTTGGTCCTAAATATAAGATCCATTTCTCATATTTATCAGTTTTTTTCAAATTACCCCTATGGATACTTCCTCAACCATAATTAAGTAGAAAAGGAAGAGGGGGTATTAAAAAAAGATGATTATGGTATTTTAGAAAAAACGTGTCACATTTCTTATAATTAACTAACTTACCTAACTTTCTTAATCTAATCAAATTAGTTAAATGTGTCTTATATTAAGAACCGGAGGAGTATTAGACAATTTAACACCCGCCCACTCTCCCATGGGATGAGAGGAAGTTCGAGGTGCCAAGTGATTTAGAAACTCTTGGGAGTTACTATATATTATTAGAAAATGAAATAAAAAAGAGATTTAGTAAACTGGATATCTTAAATTCCTCGAATATCTTGACTAACTTATGCAACCGAAAATGATTAAAAAAAAGAAGATTAGATTTAATTAAAAGAACAGAGAGCTAGAGAGAAGCAGGAATGAGAGAGAGGGATGAAGATGTAAGAAAAGGAAGGGAACATATCAGCAGGAAGAAGATTGCAGTTCATAGCATTTGCAGCCAAAACCTCACTCACTCTTTCTTTTTAAAGTTGTTTTGTATTCTTCATCACCACATGCTGCCCCACCCCCCCTCCCTCCTATCCCCACGTGCGGCTGATTTTTTTCCCACAAAAATTAATTTCTAATTTATTTCTTGAGCTTGACTTATTTCAAATACATACATAAAATAATAAAGGCTTAAAGCGCAAATTTATTTAGGAAGTTTTTGTTTATGAGCCTTAGGCATTAACTTTTTTAGTGCAAATTTACTCCGAAAGTATAACAATTATTTAATATTTTAAAATTTAAAATATGCTAAAAGTTTACTTTATTATGACACCCTTGACTCATTTAATAAGAAACGCCAGCGTGACATTAAAATAATTTACTTATAAAATTTTTAATCATCTCCCCTTGCCGATTGGGTAATTAAAAAATCATAGTTCTTCTTTTCTGAACTAAAAATCAGTAGTAAAAAAAAACAGCTATATATGGTGTAAATTTTTTTACTATATATTAAAATTAAATATTAAAAATGATGTAAAATTAAAATTAAGATTTAGCTTAATTATATTTTTGTCTTCAGCTGTACAAAGTGAAAGAAAAAAGTTCAGGATCTTTATCGAAAATCCTGCTTTTCATTATTTGTCTTCCATTCATTGGTTCTTTCCAATACTTTCTTCAGACAGAATCTTTTTTGTTTATTATTTTATCAAAAAATATGAAAGGGTTATCAGTTTTATGTGGCGTGGCCTTCCTCATCTTCTCATTTCTGGAGGTATGCCAATCGACACAAAAATAATTTAGAATCTAACTTTTAGAAAAGCATATAAAAGTTTGATTTATATATAAAGCATAATGAGAATGTCTAATCTCTTTATATCCTTTTAAACATTTTAAACTGTACATCTTGCGGAACAATTTAATTCAAATTTTATCATTCAAATCTTATATTTTTCATTTTCAAAAAATATGCAAGAATTCAATTCACAATATCTTGATGAAGTATCACAATATATAAACATTTATGTAAGCACTCATTTAAGTTATAATATGCCTTGCTCTAAGCTGTTGCCTAAGCCTTTTTCTCTTGACAAAAAAAAAAAAAACTAATTACATGTGCTTATAGATAATCTGAAAAGGAAGGAATTTAAGCGTAATCTAGAAAACTAATGGCAAGTGCATCGATGGACTCCTTTCACATTAAAATCTGAAAAGCAATATAAAATAAACTTCCACTTCATTAGGAATCAACTTATCAGTTAGATACATGCATTTCTTTAGCACGAATACGTTTAAAATTGTGCAGATTGGTTTATAATTAAAAAGGCTTTGTAAAGTCAAAGTTTGACCATTCCAACTTATTACCTCGCAAATTAGCCCTCACTAATTGCAATATTCGGCATAATACCAGATGATACCCCAGGAATTGTTTCTGATCAAATTTTACTTTTATTTTGGACCTAAAGAAATTTAGTTTTTCTTCGTAATTTTACTTTTATTCGAACAAACAAATGATCTTTTCTATGTGCCCGGTTGAATTTGCCAATTGAATTTCAAAATTCGATCCACAATATAACTCTCAAAATGTACTCTGAAATGAAAATCCTAATTTTGTCCCCTGACCCCCAATTCGGCAGGTAATGTTTTTTGGTAAAAGAGTGTATGATTGAGAATATGCGTAACATGATGAATTACTAAACCAAGAAAATAGATGTTATAATTATCATAGGCATAATATTTAATAGGAAAGTTATGGGGTGGGACATAATTTAAAGAGTGTGCACTTTTGGGTAGGACTGAAGTGCTTCAAATTCAATGCATAAGTTAAAGCATAATCTGCTTGTTATTCGGCCTAAAGAGGATTTGTCAACTTCACTTGTGAGATTGAAAGATTCTTTCATTAATTACTATTCTCCTTAAAATGTCTTTGCTTGAGTTTCATATATCATACTTCAATTATTTAATACTCTTCTGGTCTTATTTATAAGTCACTCCTAACATGTTTTACATAGACCAAGAAAAATCTTGAACTTCATTAAGTCTCATTTAAAATTCAATAATTTTTCAACTTTATCCTTATTTAATATATATTATATTTTATGTAAATTAAGTCAATATAATAATAAATGAGGGTAAAAATGTACATCCATATAACAAATTTCTCGTAGTGCCCTATAAATAGGACTAATAAAATGTCTTCTCTCTTTGTCTATAAATAGGACTAAAGAAATAATATGTATGCGCTTTCACGAAAAATGAAATTACCTAAATTATATATATTTTTTTTTTTACGAACATTACCTAAATTATATCACATCAAGGTTTACTCAGAAACGTATTTAGTGCAGTTTGTGAATTTTCAGCCTAACGTTATTGAGAGAGAGAGATATATATATATATATATATATATTACTTTTGTTGCGTCACACACCATCGGCTATGATGAAATTTTCGTGATGAATCCTCACAACTTAAAATTTGTCCCACACTGTTAACTAGGCGATTTTTGTATGATGATGATTCAAGCTTTCACAGTCTAAATCTTCGTAACGAATTAGCAATGAAGCATTTTGTGACTGATTGTTTAGTCTCTTAAATTTGAGTTTATTATCTTTTTGCAGCTACGGGAATGAATATTCTTTTGATAAATCGTGATCGTTTGTTATGTCCATATAGGCATCGTTTCCGAGAACTCGTTGCGACGCCGCTACCTAGTCGTTGCGTTTCATGGCAGATAAATATGCAAATTTGATTTGGCCAAAAAAAAAGAAATACAAAAATATGATAATGCAATTTGAGAGTGGCAAGGCATTGAGAGGTTAGGTAAAACCCATAAGCGTGATGATGTCATTAGAGTTTTTGCAACCGAGGGCTCATGCCAAAATCACAATCCAATATGAGAACGATGACTCTCATCATGTCAAGTGAAGTCCCAATTGCTGCTGTCAGCAGTGGGTATTTTTAGGAGCAAAAGGTGATCCTTTTTTTTTAATAAAGGATTTTATGATATTTGATATCAATTTATTTGAAATCAAATTGCGTCAAGTCTCAAATCGTAGGGGATTTTTCAGTATGAACTCAGAAAAATCCTCCCTTCCCCCTCATTCCCCTCAAACCAAGCAGAGCTAACGTCCAGCGCATCACACGAATGTAAATTTTATTTTTAAAAAAAATAAAAAGAAAAAAAAGCAACCAGCCTTGCTGTACCATACATGACGTCAGAACAATCAGAAGGGATAACGCGTATGCACCGTGCATAGTTCGATTAAAATAAAAACGAGTGCTAGTTTTCAAAGAACGCAGAAATTTTATACTATTTGATTTAATGCTCAATCCTGTCATAGTTCCAGAGTATGATACAATGATAAGTTTTTATAGGCAACAAGGTACCCCCTATTCATGTACCTTGTTTTGAATGGGTGAGGCTGGTGTAAACAAATCAAATGAATTGCAAACAAAAATCAATGTGGCAGAGAGAGAAAATGATGTTGGTGTAAAACAACGTAAAGACTAGCCCTATCCCTTCTAAGACACTTGATCACGGACACGGCACTGAAGCGAACAACGGGAAGGAAGAGAGGAGGGCTGAAAAAAGGCTAGCTTTCCTCTGGGCGTAACTTTGAATCGCAGTTGTTACCTTCGTTCGCTGAACTTACAGTTCCGAAGATAGAGATGGTCGTATTTGACATACTTGGTCCAGTAAGACCGATATTTTGCCATGGAAATGTCTAGCCATGGTTTCATATTTCCATTGTAGTGTATAACTGCTGCATTCTGTATCTCTTTCCGATCCACACTTGGATTATATCCCAGACCAAGCACATGCCACGATTTATTTAGCGGGTGAGTCAGCCCATAAAATGTGATTAGCCCCGGAGGTAATGTCCCCAGCTTCCAAAGAGTCCTGCCTTCATTCTGGAACACGAGACACAAGTATTGGTCAGGAAAAGATCATTTCCGTGCAATCTGTATTAATCATTATGCGAGCGAAAACAAACAACGCTGTGTTGAAATGCTCACCATGTTCTGCCATTTGTGATAAATACCAGTAATATCCTTTTTCTTCCACACTTTCAGATCAAAAAAGTTCATGCCGTATGCCCAACCACATGCATTTGGATCAAAATTTCTCGCAATGTGCGGATTTGAAAAGTTAAGATACTTGTCAAACCGGTGAAAGCTCTCACCACAGGTTTCAACTGCACCATTTACTTTCCCATGAAGATCCACGGACCACAATCCAGTCAAATCCTTCTGGACAACAATGTCATCATCAAGAAACAGGATCCTATCCAATTTTGGATATACTTCGGGAAGGTAGAATCTCAGATGGTTGAGCATTGATAGATACTTCGGGTTCCTGTATTTCAGATTAGAAGCACCAGATGAAAGCGTTGTTGGATGGCCAGCCTTGAAATAAAACTCTTTCATTGTTGCTGATTCAAGTTGCCGCAAGACTGGGCAGTAGGATGAGTTCAGCCACTTAAATTCATCCACATTTTCAACATGGATTGTAGCTTTTCCAGGAGGATTCAACAGAAACCACATGTTCATGGCTCCAAAATTTAGTTTATCAGTGACAAGGTGAAAGACATGCTTTGAAGGATCCTGCAATGTAAAAGATTCCTTGAGAACATAAAACATGAAGAAAATGAAGAAAGAAATGACACGATTCATTAAATCACAGATCCAAAGCGAATCAAGGAGGCCAATCGTCCAGGCACAACAGTATTAATAATCTAGCAAAACAGAATCCAGACATAAAAGACATATTTGCACATGCTTGTATAACAAAAGGCAATCTGAGTCACCTTGGCATTCATTACAGTTGAGTTGACAACAACAGATGCTGCCAAGACATTGTCTGAGAATAAAGCATAATGATAAAGATCAGGATTCTCCAAATTCTCACTCCTAGGGAACTTTCTCTTCTCAGGAGGAAGGAGGTAGTAATCGATGGTCAACCGCATAGATAAGCAGTGAATGGCATTTGGAATGGTCTTGGCAGCCGTTTGACTGAGGAATGCACTCTGTTTTTTCAAGCCCCTAACTTTCTCATCAGCTGTTTGTAGCATGGCCCTCAATTTCCCAGTTACCAGCTTGCAGTCATACAATTGCTCCTTTGCTTTTGACAAAACATGGCCCATACCCTTGATTTTCTCATGTGCACTAGAAATGAATTAGACAATCAATAACACATGCAGAGATATGAGCTTCAAAGAAAATTACACAGCCAAAAGTATATCATCCAACCTGTGAGGTAGCTCAGCATCAGATGTTGCCTCACCTAAACTCCGCTGACTCTCTTTTAGCTGAAACTGCAGTTCTTGGTAGATTACAAGCTTGTTCTTCATCTTAGCAATACTTGAGTATACCATAGCCATGATCATTTGGTCCCGCATCAACCGTACTGTAGTGTCAGCATTTTCATTCTCATTTTCTTTCCTCCACAGGTTATATTTACCCAGAACTGCTGAGTCAACTGATTTGGAGTGCTCAATAGCAGCATTTTCAAGTTTCACAATAGCTTCGTGATCATTTTTAACCAAATCTGCAGCACGCTTTTCACGCCTTTTCTCTATCAATTGCTGCAGAAAATTAATAAAGAAAGTCAAACAAATTCCTTTCCATTCTATTAAAGGTGAAAATAGAAAAGTTTCTGGAGATGCTCACCCTTCGAGCTACCTGCGCAGGGTTATCATTCCACTGAGCATAATCATCTGCACTAATAAAACATTGGATGAGATAGCAGATCAAACTCCTACACTATCATATTAGATGATACACCATTTGATACCACCTGAAGATTTTGCTGCCTCAGCCTTTGGTATTTCCTGTCTAGCATGTGGTATTTCTTGGCCCCGCTATTTTCAATGCAAGGAAAATAGAACAAAGCAGAAAGCAATCAATCATACAAGTATGGCTACATGCACAGCACTCAAAAAAGCCAACACCTTTGCTTACCTTAGATGTAACATTTGAAATCATTGCCCCAACAACTCTCCATGAAGCAGAAAAATTGTTTTTTCTGAAATTGTCGAGGCTCAAAGGCCCCATATCATCTACGCTGCCCATAATAGCATCAAGAACCTAAAATGTAAAATAAACCAAAAGGCTGGGAGGTAAAAATTTACCATAAAGAATGAAATTGCAGTTATGGATCAAGAGTGCATTATCATCATCCTGCATTTACCTCTTTTGAGAAAAGCGATTTGAGGTCCTGCAATGTCTGCCATTCTTTCAATTTGACAACCTGCAGGAATTAAACACTAACTTTATGGTGAACAGTACAAATCATGTCCATAGTTGCATATCCAATAAGATTATACAACAACAACAAAATCCTTCTCCCATTAAGTGGGGATATCCAATAAGATTATAATTGCATTAAACAGACCTGCTTGCTTGGAAGAGCTGAAATATCTTCTTGATCTGCATAAAGCATATCATGTAATTAGGTTGACTTGAACATTTAAAATAATTACATATAATGACATATCCAGGTTAGTGTCTATGGAAACATGTTATCCTTTTTTAAAACTCACATATGACACTTAATTTTACATTTGTTCACAGCAGTTGTGTTTGCGCATAGGAAACAAGAAGATATTCAAACAGAATTACACTTGCCATTGGAAGATAATGCACCACTTTGGTTTTCAAGATTTTACAGTCTCTGACAGCAGAGATTGAGTATTCACTAGCCCAATCAAGTGTTTGCCCTGCTACTTTCTAGAGGCATGAAACTTCTGTCCTATTTCACTACATTGATTTACAACCATAAATGTTCCATTAACAGATGCAGTGCTTTGATTTGTTAGTACAGCACAGAGATGCAGCAACCTTTGAGTAATCTGCAATAAAAGTATGGGGAATGGTTGGGTCCATCAAAATTTTAAATGAATGACTAACAGTTTAAAGTTTTGTAGTATGGTCCATATCATTTCTCTTTTTTAAAATTTGATCCCATCATTACTGAACCATCGCATAACCATTACCATATTCTAACCTAGAAAAAAGTGAGCATATTTGGGATGCTATATTGGCACTTATAGATACAAACAGGATGCATGTTCAACTCATGTTTTTTTCCCCTCACTTTCCTTCAAATATCACACAGCTAACACCTGACATCTGCCTCATTTCCTAGTTCATTCACTCCCCCCATTTAACTAAGTCATTAATTCTGCTTGGCCAACAGGAAAATTCCAACAAATCAAGTATCAATAATATTTGCAGGTTTTAATTTTAAATATTTAATTATCCAGATAATTACATCCCGGTAGTTTTCAAAACGAAAGGCAGTGCATTTACATATATGGCTAGATCCGCTTACAACCATAAAAACATAAAAGTGAGAACACCATGTCTATGTCTTCACACAAGGAAGAGAGGGAAAATGACAGAAAGAAGGAGAAATTAAGAAGGAGGAGGATTGCAGTTCAATCAATGTTGCAGAGAGAAGAAAAAATATCTACTCTTTATCAGTCTAACAATGGATTCAAACAAAGGGAGACAGAGCGCCTAAAAATGTAGTTATAGCATAACTGGCGTAGACAATGTGACCATAATCAAATATCATGGCAATCAGACATACATAAAATTTAATCCTATTAGTATCCCATCCCAAGAGTAAGTAAGAGCGACTGCAACTCAAAGATGAGTCCGTTAACCTATAACTATTTCTACAAAAGACTACTAAGCTAAGCTTATTATTAACTTCACAATAACCTAATAGATTGAAGTTCGATATTGTAATACGCGTACACCCCGTCAGGTACTTCTACATTTTCTCATTATCCACTCTATATTTGCTCAGAAAGAACCCAATTTAACTTTCAGCAAAATATAACAGACCCGAAAGAAATCAATTAGGGTCCTTTACAGACAAGCATGGAAGGCGCAATGAAACAAACACTTTATATCATTTACGAAATGATTATAGTATATAAATACAAAATTCAAAAACAATAACAAGAGAATCAGCGCTCATCATTAACATGAGAATTATCCAGTTCCCCCTCTTCACTTTCACATTTCAGATATGTCATACCCAAATCAGTCAATAACGCTTTCTACTTGCATTGTCTTCTCACTCTCGTGTCTGTGGTTCGAAAACAAGTAATACCAAGGAAGGTATCTGAACTCCGTCTCCTTTTTTTTTTTTTTCAAAAACTCCGTCTCCTTCAAGAATACACTTTCACATCAAACCAAATACAAAAGAAATGCTAACCAAAAACAAATCAGAAACACTTCTAAATCAATACCACCCAACACCATTGTTATGCGGAGATCTGCAAGTTAAAACTAGGGACGAAATGCCTTAAATGAAAATCTAGAGTTTGGAAAAGAACTAATGAAGCAGGAGAACGAACCCGAAGTCTGAAGCCCTCGGGCTAAGAAGAAAATCAAGGGCGCCAGAAAGCAGATTAGAATGAAAGCCACGACAGAAAAACGAGATCCACTGGCCCTATTCCTGCCGCCGGCCAGCCCTCGCATGAGCGCCATTGCAGATCAGGATTGAAAACCTTGAAGACAGAACAAAGTGAAAAGAACAGAAAGTGAGAAGCAAGATGATAGAGGTAGAGAACAAGAGTAAGCAAAAGAGTAGGAGTGAGACAGATTTACAGGAAAAATCGGGAAGGCGCGAATGAGAAGTGAGGCGGGGCTTATGGTGGGAATGCTAGTCGAAATCCATCAAAAGAGAGAGAAGTAGAAAAGAGGAGTGAGATTGAGACGCAATGTGAAAAAGAGCAGGAGTGAGAATTGAGATAGATCTGGTTGCTGTGTTTGGGATTTGGTATCCTTTTTTTTTTTTTTTCCTTTTCCCCCACTTCCCTTCTCTTTCCCTTCCCCTTGCTGTTCTTTCTTTCGCTTTCGTTCTACACCTTCGAATTTTTCCTATTTTCTTCCATCTACCTATAAATGAAGTAAGTGGGTCCATGCGCTTATAAAACCAATATAGTAGTATTAGTAATGTGGCCAAAAGAATATATTAGCAATTTTTATGATTAATAATTGATAAGTTAACAAATGAGAAAGTGATAAATTATAGACAGCCTCAGTCTCATCATTTATACTATCTCCGATCCTAAATATAAGAATTAGTTAACTAATTTAAATAGATTAAGAAAATATGTTAAGTTAGTTATTTATAATAAATAAGTGTTATTTTTTCTAAAATATTCTTGTCAATCAAATTTATTGCCTACAACTAACATTATTAGAAGGACTATTTTTAAAAAAATAAATAAATATGAGAAACAAAATATATTGAGATAATATATTTAAGATCAAAATAAAAGTCAAGCGAGATCTTATATAAAAGACAGGAAATAATATATATAATACTAAACAAAATCTTACAATTAAAACCGGAACATTAAAAAGATCACTATTTTATCATTTAGAAGGAGGGTTGAATTTTCATATTCCATTAAACTAACCGAACATATAATCATCTATGCATAATTCATGGATATCAAGTTTGTTCGCCAAAAAATTAATGGATATATAAGTTTGTAGTTTTTGCACAAACTTCAATTTTAAAATTTGTCAAAAAAATAAAATTAAGACTAAGTAAAATTAGGTATGTTACCATGCGCTGCACACAATTTAAGCAATATATAACACTTTCAATAATTATAGTACAGTTTAATAAGAACATAAATTTTATAATTAATATTGATATTATTAACATCAATTATATTAATTGATGGTATTAGTTAAATTTAATTTAACGTCCTTGCAATCCCAAAAATTTGCCGGTCCTTCGTTGAAAGTCGATCTCGAACATGAGAAAATTTAAATCCAAATTATCAAGATATATTGTAGAAAACTTTAGGGCAGGATACATTTCTAAAACCGAAAGCAGATCCACACAAGCCTCACATTTTCGATATATTTGTGTCTTTTCAAAAGTTTAGACCCCAGAATTCTTAGCGCTGGTAAAAAAAAAAAAAAAAAGACCCCGGAATTATTAGCGACGTAATAAAAGAGGCCCGCATAGCTGCTTGGACTTGCCAGGGCCAACAAATGAATTTAAGTCATTTGAGTAAATAAACACACAAATCAACTTTAAAAAATGACGGAACTACTTGTTAATTGGACATATTTGTTAATTGTTCACTGGCGACAGTTTACGGCGGGATCGTCCAATCGAGTGGGAGATGCAGTGGCAGCAAACTAGAATTTTCAGTCCAAGTGACTTTGATCACTACATAGTCCACAAGAATGTACACATAGGAGAACACTCTTTAAATTCGAAAATAGCCTAATTGGTGATACAAGACCTTCCCAAGGGACCATCCCCGACACATTCAATTATAGAATTGCCACATCCAAGTAATCGCCAATCTGCATGTATACACCAAACTCAGTAACAGGCCTCGTAAATCATAATTATCACTACTATAAACCCTCAAAAGCAATAAATATCAATTTATCACAAAATAAAACATTCAAGCATACAAAAATCCATTGGACTCGCATAACAGACTGATATGAATTATCATCTTTTTCACTGTTGGGGTGGGAGTCATTTACTCCTCACTTCTTACTCGCATACATATGCTCACAACAAATATTGTAAGTATGTTAATATTATTTTGTCCGAGACTTCGTTAAAAATAATCGAGGAAATCACGCAAGCTTTCTTTGAATTTTACAAAAGTTACATATGCCTCCTCTTTATTTTCAAAAATGTACATTATCTCCCTCGAAACAAAAAAAAGGCTCAACGCTTTAGCTTAATTTTAAACACTACTCAGTTAACCATGTGCCTGTTTGGGATAGCAGTGGAAATCTCTATAAGCACGTTTCACATAAGCTAAGGCAAAACTTTTTTACATACTTGCCTCGTATTCCGTAAATTATTATTAAAAAGCTACTTATAAGCTGTTCCAATATCATCACAAGTACCAAGAAAAAACATATTGGTTACCTCAAAACCAAGTTCAGCTAAAGCCTTGCCATCATCTAATCGTCCATTTCCATATGATAAAGTTTTGCCCACCTAAATGAAGTCAGAGTAAGAGAATAAGAAACAGACTAAAAATCCTGGCAGTGAGATATACAGTAGGCATACATCCCACTAAGATGTCAACATTAAATCAATTGCATTTTCACAGGCAAAAGAATGAGATATGAGATATTCAACACAAAACGTATACTTAATTTCAAGAACAATTTTAAGAGGATAAAATAACAGGCGAGAAAAAAGGGGATGCTTTTGTTATCATTTTTTTGGTCTTCAATAAAATACTCCTCCGGTTCTAAATATAAGACCTACTTTGTGATGTAAACATTACAAAATGAGTCTTATATTTAGGACCGGAAGAGCAAGAAGAAAGCACAGAGTAAAAGAAAGTACATTTGTGAAAATCGGCAGCAATATTTACAAACTTTAGCTGATGGGATATAAAATAAAGTCAAAATCATGATCGCAAAGAACTCACTAGCGAACATCAAAATATTCAGGTGTGAAGCTATAGGATATGCATAGAAGGACATGACTCTAAAGTAATGTGGTACGCAATATGCAAAAGACACACAAGCTCACAAACACAAAGAGGACTTGCCTCTTTAACCAAGAAGCGGCCATGCTTATCAGGATAAACAAATGCGAAGGAAAGCTTTGCATTTCTTCTCCTTGCAGCCGGAGCCACTTCTTTGACCTGCACAAAATGGGTAGTCAAGTCAACCACAAGAAAGAACGTTATGAACAAATGAAACACAGCACCATTTCCAGAGGGACCTCATCAAAAATAGAGATGACTGCATTTTCAGACAGCGGAGAGCATCAATTCAGATAAATAAATTACTTCAATGAATCGGGTCTTTGCAAAAGCATAGTATTCTGTTATAGTGATTGCTAAACCAACAAAACCTGAGGTCTAAATTCTGGTACAAAGATATCCTCTAATTGAAATCTGACCAAATGCTACCCACCCATGTATCCTGTACATAATTTGTTGCAACACTGTCTTTTCATATCACCTCTACCCTAGTGCCTAGTGTTGCTTTAAAGTTAAGAGCTCAAGCCAATCAAATGGGCCCATGTATCACAAGCTTAAAATCTAAGTGGCATCATAATTTAAAGAAAAGGATCCACAGCAATGAAATTTGTTGCACCAGTTAAAATTAAGATGGTGGGCTAATTTTCAAGCTCAGTATAACATCATTAAGATCAGCTGGATAGAAATTTAGGTATTGGAGAAACCATGAGATTTTCCCAGTACATCCCAAAAGGCACTGCCCATTCAATATTTCACTGGATGTAAAATTTGAGAAAAGACAATATCTTACTAGAACACACAGGCCAACCTTCTCCTATTTCAATGTGGTTGGCTTTAAATTTTATTTACCACGCTATCCTTCCTACCATACTTAAAAGAACACTAAATGTGAACCATTTTATGATGAGGCTTTTCCCTCAACAATACTTCTTTTACAAACAGAAGCCTTAAATATAAGTCCCCTCAAAAAACACACACATGCCTGCTCATAATTCCAAATGAAAATATAACGGAAAGATGGGGACAGAAGAGAACAAGAAGAATTTCTTCATACAAGATCAGTTAACTCCCTAAGAGTTGCATCCTTCCATGTATAAATTTGAACCTCATCCTTCGGCTCCTTGCCTCTCACTGCGAATTCCTCATTGGTATGATGACCTCCAGTCTGCAGAATGTAAAGAGTACAGAACAGCATAGATTACTATCTCAGAGGGCAATCATTTCATTTCCTGCAAGTTGCAGTGAAACTATGGAAGTACATTAAAAGATCAGGATATGTCAGAGTGGATGTGGGCATACATTTGATTATGTGCATCAACATATATGAAAAGATTACAGAACAAAGGCAATATGAGATGCAGTGGATGAGACCCTTGCTCTGGAAAATATGCTCCAGGCATCATGTGAAAGAAATAAAATCCCAGAATGAATTGAGTGAACAAATGATGAGAATTTATGAAGCACAAAACAGCCAATTGATGCAAAGCGTTTTCCACACTATGGCATCATGTTAATAATAGGTTGTAAATACTGCAACAAGAAAACTACAACATTCATCAAACCTACTCGACAACGATATTCACCAATTCACAAATAGGAAATAATAAACTGTGTCCCCCAGAACCATTCCCCTACAGAAAAGAATGAAGAGCTTTTCAATTTAAGTCATTCACAATGAGCATTCGAAGGTGGCGTACAAAATACATGATTAAGATTAAGCACCTGTTTGTTCAAATTTAAAGGAAAAGTGACTTTCGATCAGTTCAACAGGAGTTGTTGAAAGAACAATAAATCTATTTTTAGCTTTTCTTGATAAGCTATTCCAAATAGCTTACCAAAATGAGCTTCTTTCAACATAGCCCTCATGTATTTAGCTTGAATTCTCCCAACAACTCCCTCATACTCCCAACAACCTTCTCATGCTTAACCTAACTAAAATCATTTTTTTATAATCTTAAACAAACTAGCCCTAAGTAGAATGGAATAGCAATATCCTCCATTAAGCAGTTTAAAATGCACGGTGGGATACTTATTATCCAACTGACCAACTTCAATGGCTAGCTTGAGGGGGGGGTCTTTTACCCTACTTTGTTCTCGTAGGCAGTATGAGATGCCTAAATCCTACTGCAAATAGTATAGGATGCTTCATAGCGTACTTAAGTTAATTGGTTCTACCACCTCAATAGCTAACCTTTTACCACCCATTAGGGTGTCCATTAATTGATATACGGGGGGATGATTAGAACTTCAAAAAGGGGAAAAGGCCACTTGCAAAGGGTTCTAAATAGTGATGGGTTCTTAATAGCTGACTAAAATGCTAAATTGGGCTGTTGTAGAGTGTGGCGGCCGTGATGCTCTCTCTCCAACGGGCCAACTGAATGCTTTATGGCACACCTAAGCGTATTGTTTCTCCCATCTCAAAATCTAATTTTAGGATGAGGGGTTAGAACTAGTCCTGAACAAAATCCAGAGACCCTTGATGGAATTTAACGATTGCTCTCTTTTGAGATGCAGGCACCATATGTCCATGGCAATGAAGGTGCAAAGCCTCGAATAACGTCTTTTTTTCTCTTGACAAACACCTCAATTGTAAGAAAACCATATTCTCAATCGTCAGCGGAGAATTATCTGACAAATAGAAGTGACCTTTGAGGACAGAAAACAAAATCCCATAAATCAAATTCACGAATAATTATGACACCCAAAATAGTACAAAAAAACTGGAAACTTGAAATAGATGATCATTAAACATGTAAGGTGGAGATACTGGAGAATGGCGTACCTTAGTGAACACTCGCAGTAGTAGCGGACACGTCTGGAATGAACAAACCCCGGGAAAACAAAAAACAAAACAACAATAATTAATATCATATAAAACAAAGAGAAGAATCAGACAGCCCGAAAAAGAACATAGGGTAGAATCATCCTTACTAATGAGCCAAAGCCACACCTAAGACTATTGGAGCTACAAGAACATTTCAGTACAGCGAAACGCACAATGGATAGGTCGAATGCAAGAAAATAGCTAAGTTTAAAAAGGGAGGCAAGAAATGAAACAGAAAACACCCATCAAGAAGAGAAAGCTATTAAGGACTGAGACCCCTAGGTCAATGAACGGTGGAAGTAAAAAACTGGGTCCGACGGGAAGATTAATAAAGAGGGAACCTTTTCGCGATCAACTGGTTCGAAGCGTGGGCGAGGGGGAGGAGGCGGAGGAGGGCCTCTTGCAGGCGGGGGCATTGGTCGGCCTCCTTGCCTCTTGGGTGCGTCACTCATCTTCTCCCTCGCTTTTTCTGGATTCCGCTTCGCTAGGAAGGGGTGGGAACGTTTCCTACTGAATATCTTTGCCTGGTCTGGGTCTGGGTCTGGGCTTTCCCTCTACAGCCCTCTAGCCCACAATTGACCCGACATTTTTGTCATCAATCCGGATCCCCGGCTTCCCTGTATATCAAGGACTAAACAGTCTTTTTATGACAAGGGTCGAACAAAATTTACGAGTCCGATAAACTTGAGTACAATCGTAAGAAAGACGTGTTTATATTTAGTCAAAAATATTTGTACTGGGGAAAAAAAACAGTCTTTCAATGAAATTACCTATTAATTTGAAAAATTATCAAAATTTAAAATGTCGGAATAATATTTAAAGTATTTGGACCCTTACGTTACCCATATGACAATTCACAAAAGATACTAGCATCTAATTGAATGGAGTTCACATCTTCTTATTAATTTTGTAATGTTTTATCATCCGAACTCTATCAGATACGCTTGACCAGATCTTATTACACACACACACACACACAATCACTTTGAAATAGAGATGATTTGAGTGGGGTATACTTAATTTAATTGTATAAAAGATGTGCGGTATCCATTTTCCCATGAGCCAAAAAGAACAATATTATCTATTTTTCTTTTGTTATTTTTTTACCAAGCACTCCTTTTCTGTTTCCCGTTTATGATTTGTTCATATATAACTCGATCACAAGGAGCAGGTATTTGTTATTAAATGTTAACGGATTAACCAATAACTGCTATTTTTAATTTTTTGGTGAAATAAGTTTTTTTTAGGGGCAATGGGCCTGGCCTCAGTTACTTTTTTTTTTTTTTAAATACTTCACACAGTCGAGCCGTGGCCTTTGTCGAATAAAAAATGGGGGAAAATGAAAATGACATCTATTGTAGTTTACGTATTTTTTTTTTTTTGGTAAGGTACTAGTTGGAGCCTATTTTGATTCGTTTGAAATATGCTTCTTGCTTATTAGAATGCTAATGGCCTCCTATAATCAAGGATGAAGAAGCATGGATGGAGTAATAAACTTATTCCATTCACACAAAAAACTGAAAAACGCAATGAAGATACTATAAGACAATTTTAATTTAAAAAAGTTCATCGTATATTTGTTCCAATATCAAAATTATTAAAGACGAATGTGTCCTACTCGGCACATGAGGTTGCAGTCAGCAACAACGCAGAGTCGCGTCTGACTTCTGTTGATGTGTATGTAATGTAATGCCTGTTTAATGTTGACATGTGATGTGAAATTTTGAGTGAGTTCAACGCAGACGAGCAGCCAATTATTTTTTTTACTTTATTTAAAAAAGCTGATAGTGTGTTTAAAAAAATGGATGAAAATATGTTTGACCTTCCTTACTAACAAAAATCATGAATAACAACTTAGTTACTGTTTGTTATGAGGAAAATGGAGGGGGGAGGGAAGAAAAATTGTAATGAGCTCAATTTAAAAAATTAAAGAAGTCGGGTTAAAAGCTTTTAATTAACTTTTATTACTCTTATATATTACTTCTTTTCTCTCTTTATCAAAATTCTTAAAACCCCATTTCTCTGAGTTTTTAAATAGAGTTTCTTAAAATTCTCCTTCCGCTCCCCTCCCTCCCATTTTTCTTATGCCAAACAGACCTTTAAATAACAATGCACCGCATTCAATATATATGTGTTAAGGAGAAGGCTCTGAAATATTTCAATGATGGAATAGAAATTTATTTTTTTCTAGGTTAAATTTGTTGAAATGTACCCCTTATCATACAAAGGGTCAAGAGGGGGGAGATGAAATGAATTTTCCTTGAGAGGAGTTCTCATCATCTCTCCCTTTTTCCCCTCATAAAATAAATAAATAAATAATGTCAAAATCTTGTAGGAATGGTCCGTAATGATAAACTATTATCTCTGATTCTTAATATAACAGTTAATTTGATTTTTAATTTGGCTCTAAATATAATATCCCAATTCGTTTTGTCTCTTATATTTATTTATTTATTTTAAAGTAATTTCTGTAATAATTACACATGTTAAATATTTAATTAAATGGTAGTTTTAGCTAATACATGACTAGTAAAGGTATTTTGAAACAGATAACATCTAATTATTACAAATAACTAATTTAACAAACTTTCTTAATCTATTCAAATTAATCAATTAGTTCTTATATTAAAGATTGAAGGTAGTTCATTAAAGTAGAATATTTTTTATTTTTTTCAATTCAATGATAAAAATGTGATGAAAAGAAAAAAGGAGAGGAGAGAGATCAAAAGCGGATGATAATTTGATGGTACTGCGTGCTCGGCGTTCCCACCTCACAGAAAGGGAGAGGGGTGGGGGCCACAGCCAAAAATGGGAAACAAGCGAATAAATGTGCCCTAATAATAGGCATTAAAGATTTCCCAAAACAGAAAGCCCTAACCACTACACTATTCCTTCATCATCTCTAAAGCAGGATGGGAGGCCAGTGGTCATAACCCGGAGGATGTGTTTAGGGTAGGGCCTAGGTGGGCCCCACCCCCATATCTTTAATAAGTCGCTCTTTTGCCCATTTTCAATGTTCTCTAATGTCTGTTCCTTTTCCTAATTATAACCCTCTTGCGGTAAATCCATCCCCTGTGCCTGGGGCGCTCATCTAAGCCTTTGTTTCGGGAATTTATTTATTGCTCTCTTATGCGTAAAACGAGAAACATTATGTCTTTCGTCGAGACTTTACACAGTAATTCTCCCATAAATGTTAAAAATGAATAAAAGCTAAGCAAGTGGGCAGTGAACTTGAATGTTAAAAGAGAATTAAAATAAGAATACAAAAGAGAGAGAGTTGTGAGAGGGGAGCGGAGGACTACTGAAGAGGGGATGGTGATAGGGACGCGTGAGGAGAGGAGCACAGGTGCGCATAATTGGAGAAACCATGAAGAAGAAGATAAAGCGATGTGTGCGAGCGATGCTTTTTTAACAGAGCAGGCATCAAACCCACACATGCTAGCTAATACTAACATTTTGCATTTACTCACCCAACAATCTCATCCCAATAAGAGCATTTAAAGAGTATTTGGATAGAAACCAAACCATAGTTTCAAAAGTACTTTTACGGTTTACGAAATAAATATATGGAGGAGTTTGTCTCGTTTTACGAAAAAGTGCTTCTGAAAAGCACTTTTGAGGGTTGCCAAACACCCCTTGATCTGGAATCTTGACTTGTATGTGTGAGCATGCAATTCTCCAACCAGCCACCCAGGCTCACTCCTTCACCATACATATTTGATAATCTCACAAGGTAGGCCATCCATCCTCATCAATTTCTCCTCATTTAGCATTTCAATCATTCATATTAAGTCTTCATCTGTATCCTCCTTCCAATCTTAAGCGCATCTAGGAGGATCGGAGAGTTCATGTTCCTCCTACATATAATATTTTTAATTTATTTTGTCTTCCAAATTATTCATGCTAATTAAATAGGTTTTCAAGTAGGGATAATTTTGATACTAATGATTAGGGAGGGTATTTTAATAAAATCAGAACAATAAATTACTAGCCTAACTAATTTTATTAATATTTATAAATTAATTATATTTGGAGGGAGTCCATAGTTATATTAATTAAGAAGTGCTTGTCTATCATTCGGCATCATCATATATGTGTTTATTCTGGGTGAAAATTTTCCATATTATTAGAAAAATTTTCAAGGAAAAAAAAAAAAAAACCTCTCCTCCTAGCTGGTCTATTAGAACTGATACATTTATTCTTTCTTTTTTTTTTTTAAAATCTTCAACCTAAATATGTTCTTCATTATTTATTATGCAAGAGATATGAAATATATAAATACTATATTTTCTGTTCATGGGATTATTGTTTGCGATTCTTATTACTCATCCAGTCCTTAATGTAAAACCTATTTAACTAATTTGATTAGATTAAAGAAGTTAGATAAGTTAGTTAACTGTGATAAATATGACATATTTTTTTAAAATATCTTAATCATCTTCATTATATGCTTCCTGCCTCTCATACTTGATTATTGTTGAGAGGGTATCAATAGGGATGATTTGAAAAAAATTGATAGATACAAGAAATAGGTTTTATATTTAGGACTAAAATTAACTCCATAATTAGGTCCTATATTAAGGATCGGAAGAGTATATATTATATATTTTGTTCATTAAACGAATTATTATTTCGAGTTGTATTGAATTTTCAAGGGCGCATTTGATCGATTGCCAATTCAAAGGGTTTCTGCATTTCACTTTCATCAGTAAAAGCAATCGTTTTATATTCTCAAACTCCTCAAGCTCCATTATTGGGGCACACAATTCAGAACCGGAGGCTTAACTATATACGCTTCCGAGTTAGGACTTTAAGGGATTCTTTTTCGCCGTCTCTCCTTTATTGCCCTGGAAAATAAGGAGAAAATTATGTTTTGATCCATCTGTAAGACAAGGTAATACCAACTCTCTCGTCTCTACTAACAAAACACACCAATGCTACTATGACCGTTGCACTAATAAGAACATTGTATTAAAAAGGTTTGCTTAATTAATTTTGCAGAACAATTAAAAAAAAAGGCTAAAAAAAAATCATCATAACTCACACCAGAAACAAAATGATTGCGAAGCATGTGGATAAAAGAAAAGGATTTGACCCATGAAAATCAGAGGATATAGAGCTAAGCTACGCGAAAACGAAAGACAGTGAAGAAGCAAAGAGACGATAACCAATAAATTACATATCAATTTTCTTTCCAGTTTTAAGGATCTAACCTATACACATATGGGGCCATAGACTAGTCGAATTGCAGTTTAATGTAGCTGAGCTTATCAGTGAGTCCAAATTTTCATTAATTAATCTAAATGAAACTGTATTTTTCAAAAGGGAAAAACTTATTAGATTCTTAGCCTTATATAGGTAATATATTTTTGTCAAATCAAAATCATTTCTAAAGTGTTAATAATTGATATATAAAAAATGACAAAAATGACCAAAAAAAAAGCAGAAAATTACTAAATCCCAAATTAGAGTTGATAACAACACTTCATTTGGTGTTGATAATGCTGAATTTACAAGTGACAATAAATTATTCTTGACATTTCCTACCTGGGGTTTAATAATTTTCAGCTTCTTTTAATTTGTTTCATTTTTTCTAAAAAAATTGTATTTCTTGCGATGAGTATTTAATATCTGACAACATTGTTAACTGATTTATATTTAATTAGTTGGACTCTAGATGAGATGTGTCTTTTGGTATGTTTTTTAATTTTTAATCCAAGAATCTTGAACTCTTGAGCGAAGGTATTGAGTTATTTTTCATCACCTGATTTAACTCGTGGTTAAATTTATATTTATCGCAGATTACGTAACTTGAACTTTCGATGATGTCACCTTCAAGTCTAATCTTCACGACCTTAATTTTTCTAAGAGAGAGAGTATTTAAAGAATATTCTGGAGGCATGAACTTGCTCATGTCTCTCCAAATAAGACAATATAATTAATGACTCATTGGAAGCATGGTTGTTGGTCTATTTAAATTTGACATTATTGGACCATTGGTTTAAACTTAATCAACCACTTCGGAACTTAACCCTAATTATCAAACTTCTATGATACACAACGCGGTTCCAACGTCCATATCTTTACAAATATGATATATATATATATATAGCAATATTTACAAGTATTTCAAGCCTAAATAATTAACGTTTACACGCTATTTTCTTTAATTAGTAAAATTTGTTCTGTGGACGCTTTTAAACAAAAATGTATCATATGGGGTAATCCTTTTTCTTTTTCACTCATGGTATATATGTTAAACAGGAAAAATTCCACGAAAAAGCTTAAGGGCTACTAATACCACCGGTGCTATTCATAACACTTCTTTAGGCCTTTATTAATTCAGTGTTTAATTTTATTTTTTTTACCATATGCATCCGGTATCCTGGCCAACCCTTTAGAGAATTACAAACCAGATTAATCCAGATGGGGTCATGGTAGGACCCACATGGGCGGTAACCCTACCACTTACACTACTGCACTCCCAAATGACTGAACCTGTGACCTTTGGTTAAGGCGGAATAACTCTTACCAGTTGATACAAGTGCTCGGTGGTAGTGTTTAATTATATAAGAGAATAAGAAGTACTCTAAGGGGAAACAAATTCACGAAATTAAATAAGTTTGGTGCGTACAGCTCAAACAATGACGTTATAGATGTTCTAACACAACCGAGATTTAAGATTATTTCACGATAAATATCTTCAAATTATGGACTTGACAGGCATTTCTTATTTTATTTTTGGGTATTGAAATATATATATTTCCTTTCTGTTAACTTGAAGTTAAAGAAGTACGTACTATCCCTTCCCCCCTAAGTATGCCTGAAATCAGTTAATCCTCCTATGATTTAGAGTGTTTGAACTGATCTGTTAATCAATGTATTTAACTAATTACCACTTAATCATTCTGAAATTTACTGTGCAGTTTTGATTGGCCAAAACCCAAAGTAAGGGCAGTGTCAGTTCTTAGAAAACGTATGTGGTAGTCCTTGTTAAGAAACGAGAATGATGATTATGCATACTTCGGTTTCTATTAGTATTTAATTTGTAGATGATAAGGAGGCTGGTGGGGACGTGGGGTGTACTAAAATAAAAACTGATCGATGAGGATACATGCATGAATTAGTCTCCAACAGATTCCCTTGTCTCTCTCTCAAATTAAACAGACCTCGTCATATGTATTATTCCTTACGCTTTCATCAGTTGGATCCCATTATTACGCATGTTACCATTTTTATTATCCAGCTCAATTTGGCCAATGTTTTGAAATTACTGTTTTTGAGATGTCCTTTTATCGATCATATTATTCCCTAACATCTCTTTGACACATTCAACATTTCTTTCTTTAATTTCTTCCTTTCTAAGACATCATAGAAAACAATCGTGCGGGCGATTTGTTAAAATAGTGCAGACCTAATTGATGACACGCGTATTAGAAGGGTGAGTGAATAATGATTTCACTTAATTGAGAAATTATTGAATATAGGGGGAGGCAAGGTCTAGTAATAATTTGGATTCAATGCTTATTACACTATATATACATGGGCTTGTTTGGCGTTGCGTAAGCTATTCTCATTTATATTTTGACCCAAATCCACGTAATACTAATTACTAAATGTGTACTCTACTAATTAAACCTCGATCCCATGGTTCAAGGATTTTGGCCCCTTCAATTAACTTTGGGATTATATTCTTTTAATCTGTTATTTGTCAGTAGTGCGCAATCTCAACATTTGTCGCATGACAGCATGTGACAAATCAAAATCAATACTACAAAAAAATAACAGCAGAAATCGCTTCGAGTACTACGATAAAAAGGGATCCGTGATAAAAACAATATATGTAATGATGATGATAATATATGCGAAGGGAACTCAAAGAAAGTTGTTGGTCAACCTGAGAAATGCATTTGCTTTCAGTTTTAGGCTAAACTGTGTCAGCAGCCACTGCTCAGTATAATTTCCCACAAACATTGCTTTCACATGGGGGCCTCCACCCACCGCCCTCCATGAAACTTCCTACTAATTATTTAATCCCCAAAACATAAGTAATTAAGTTAAGGTCATATGAAAATACTTTCCCTCTTGTTAATTTAATAGGATATGTTAGAGGTTTTAATTTTAGATTGTTTCCCGAAAGATTTCAACTCAATATACACGTATATTTTGTTTCTCTTATCAAATATATGCTCCTTTCTTATGCTTTCAGCGTCTGTTTATTTATGAGTGGGTTAATTTTTGGTAACTTTGTTCATTAAATTCATCATATGGACCGGTTTAACCTCTGAATCAACTCAGTTCTTCATCAAAATATAATTGAATTAACTTTGGTTTTTTGTCCTTTTATCCCGGTTGTTCAGTTGAACTGACGAGTTCTCCTGGTTCTTTAGTAACAGTACAACGTAAGCTGTCTAATTTTCAAATCATTTATGTACACAGCATTTTAAAGATATTAAGAGAATGAAGAAAGACATGGCCGTGTGTAAGAAAATAAATATAGAAAAGGAAAGTGAAAAGAGAAAAGAACACCGCGGGGTTTCCATTTTCTTGAAAGAGAAGATCAAGTGTGCCCCTGCCCCTCCTTTTTCCGTGTTCCCTTGTCTATTTCTATGCTCAGCTCCAACTTCCTCTTCTCTCTCTCACTCTTCCAGACAAACCCCATTATCACTCCCTCTCTCTCTCACGTCTTCCATTGTTCTATTTTCTCCTCCACTCACATATAGATCAAAAATCTGAACCCAGAAGAGAAACAGCTTAAATTTCGAAGCAGGACTTTAGCCATAAAAGAGAAATAGAAAGCATGGGTAGAGGGAGGGTTGAACTGAAGAGGATAGAGAACAAAATCAACAGGCAGGTGACTTTCTCAAAAAGAAGGAACGGTCTGATGAAGAAAGCTTATGAACTGTCAGTCCTTTGTGATGCTGAGGTTGCTCTTATCATTTTCTCTGGCCGTGGCAAGCTCTATGAATTCGGAAGTGCTGGGTATAATTCTTTCCTTTTCGGTTCCCTCTAATTCATTTATTGCCTTCTCATCCATTTTTTCTGTATTCGTTCTTGTTTTTGGCGGTGCAAATCCCAATGGATATAAATTCCTAAATTATATATTCTTTTTTCATTTAGAGAATCTTTGGGGCTTTGTTTTCTGAAACATGCCCTTCTTCTCTCTTTCTTATGCAAACACACTTTCTTCTGGCTTCACTTCTCCTTTCACTAAAATAGACACTGACCCCTTCATTTTCTGCTTCTCTTTCTTTTGGTGCCATATTGGTTTTCTTAGCTAGACACCGTTATCAACTTTTGAGATATTTTTTCCCCATTTCAATTTATTGATTTGTTTGTTTTGTCTTGCTTTATAGTTTCTACGGCATCATTTCTTGGTTTCATTCAATGAATGCATGCATCATCTGATAGCCTTTCTTTCTCTTTCCCTCTCTCACACACAATTGCTTGAAGAAGTTTCATGGATTACAGAGAGAAGAAGATCGTTCGTTTTTCTTTCCATTCACAGATAGACACGTTTCATCTATTTGTCGTCGCCGCGCTCCTACCCCCTTTCTCTACCCTGGGTTAAAGGGTTTGGCTTTCAAATACACTTTCTGATGAAACAGAACAATCTATTTCTTCTTTTCTGTCAAGGAAGAACGCATCAGTAGTACATGTCTGAGTGGAGAGTGGTAAGCAGGTAGTACCGGGAGTTTAGTTGAAGTTGAGGAAGTCAGTCCGCGGATGTTCACTCTCTTGTCCGATGTGCAAGATCTAGGGTTTTCAACTGCATCTTCTCTCCGTAAGCCTTAAAGCCTTCAACTTTAACATGATCTGTAAACTTCTTTTGATGCTTTGATCTTTCGGATCTATCATTGTTTCCATCTTTCTCACACTCAAAACTGAGAGAAGTGGGGGACCACTTCTCTCAGCATTCTTATATGCCTCTTTTACATCAACTCTCTCTCTCTCTCTCTCTCTATCTATAGCTATCTGGGTACTTCCATAGCAGAATTACAGTTCCTTTTTTTTTAAAAAAAAAAAAAGCCTGAAGAAGACTATAATGTCGGAGTCAAACACAAGGATACGATCCTTGGGTTTATACACAAGTTCTGCTGCCTCCAAACCCCCTCTCTGGGTATACTTCCATGGAAGAATAATTACAGCTTAGTTTTATCCCTGAACAGATTATAATGGCTTAGTCAAGCACAAGGGTCTTTGGATTTAGGCACAAGTTTTCACTTTCCATCCAGCGCGCCCTCCTTCTCTTTCTGTGCTCCTCTTCTTCTTCTTCTCTTCATTTTTTGTTTACCTGTTCTGGAAGCATTGCTTTTGTCTTCGGCTAATCGATGATACTGTGGGTTTTGGAGAAAATTGGTTCGAAAAGGAAATCTTGACAGTGAGGTTTTAGTAATTGTCAAAAAAGAAAATAGAAAGAAAACCTCAGTAACATGGATGCTTTTTGGTTTTGTGTGCGCTTTCTTCTTTTTTCTTTTTTCGGCCAAGAGCCCTAATAAGATATGAACCATATATGTGTGGTCAAGCTCTAGCCCTGGCCTGTAAGACGATTAAGAGGAAAGAAACCGCACTGCTTTGTCCATATATATTTTATTATTAATTAATCATTCGCAACATATGAATTTGCGCGGAAATCTCAGTTTTGTCCTCTGTTTTACATGTTTTCTGCGGTAAAAAGAATGTTCATGAATTTTTAATTTTTGATATTGCCAGTTAAAAAAAAAAATTTTTGGTCCACCAAAAATACTTATCTTAATCTCTACCACCGCGAAGAATACTCCCGTCTCACAAAAAAAAAAAAAGATATTTTGGGCGATAAAATGAGTTTAATTTGGAATTTTAGTTAGACATAAAACATATGCCTGTATAATTGTGGTTATTGGTTTAGAAATTAATTTTCCTTTATATTATGAAATTAATTAACTCATTCTTTCTGAGGTGAAATTACTCAGTTATAATATTTGACTTGTAGTCTAATGGCATAAAAATACTTTTATAAGTGAAAGGTTATTGTTTTGATTTTACACTAATATGCATGTCCCTCCAAAAAAAAAAAACGAAGAAATTGATGGTGTGTATATGTCTCTCATATTGTGGCAGAAAAAAGGTGTCGCTTTGAATAATATTTAGCAGTACGTTCGAGAAATTTAAATCGTTCAGTTCAAAATGATTTATTTCCCCCCTTTCCCTTGAACTAGACACATAAATTCGTTTTTTTTTTTTTGGGGTAGCATTACTAAGACCCTGGAACGATACCAGAGGTGCACTTTTACTTCTCAAGACACCAATGTTCTTGAACTTGAAACCCAGGTATGCTTCCCAACCCCACCTAATCCTTGTTTCTAATATTCTACCGTAATAATTAAATCATTTTTGGAAGGTCAAATATAATATGCAGTGCCATTCTTTTTTTTTTTTTAATTTGGGTCGTGGTTTCACATTTTTAATATCGGGTCCTTAATTATGATTTTGTTTTTGGTTTTGGAATCAGAGCTGGTGCCAAGAGGTGTCAAAGCTAAAGGCAAAGTATGAGGCTCTTCAGAGGACTCAAAGGTTAGAAAATGTTATTAGTGTTAATTAATTATGGTATCAAATTAAAGATATACGAAGTCTAAAATTAAAGTGGCTTAGTAATTAGTTAAGGATTGATGTAAATGTTTACATATCCAGGCATTTGCTTGGGGAAGATCTTGGACCACTGAATGTGAAAGAGCTTCAGAATCTGGAGAAGCAGCTTGAAGGAGCTCTAGCTCAAGCCAGGCAAAGGAAGGTACATAATTGGGAGGAATTTGATTAGTGATTGGAAATTTCTTTCTTCCAGTTTTTTGAGATCCATCGCAGATTTCACATATGCATGTATATATATTCTGAATGCAGTATCGATTGTCTTAATAAGTAAAGGAAAAACGAGAGATTTTGAATGAATCTTCACCTTGTTGAGAAACTCGTGCCTGTTCTCTCAACCTTTCAAACTTTCTTATATGTTTGTTTGTTCTTTTATTTTTTTGCTGGGCCTGTGAAATTCCACATATATGTAGTTATATTCGTCCTTTTACTTAGTACAAGCTTTTGTTTTGATTGAAATGAAATGAGCTTGTCCGTGAATATGACATCTTACAATGTGTTTGTGAGGGGTGCATGGTGGAATGAGGATTTTAGCTGACAGTGCTTGAACTGAATTTGCAGACAGAGATTATGATAGAACAAATGGAAGATCTGCGCAGAAAGGTAATTTAGATAGAGTTTTGAATTATGTGGCGTTAATTTGTAATTCAGAGAAGTAATTACATTGGAATGTGTGTGAAATGAAGATGGATCTAACAATAATGTTTGTGTGGACGTACGCGGCAGGAACGGCATCTGGGAGACATCAATGAGCAACTAAGACTGAAGGTGGGTTTTGTACTTATATATAATTAATAATATGCTTGAGGGATAGATGAATATATATATATATATATATATTTAAAAAGTGATGTATAGTAATAAAGAGAATGATACAGGTGGAAGGAGAGGGATATAATATTAATGTGTGGAGGTGTGAGTCGGAGTCAGCAGGGGGTGTGGCTGCCCATCCAAACTTTGCCTTCCAGCCTTCTCCTCACACCAACCCTAACCCTCTGGATTGTCCTCCCCACCCTTTCCTGCATATTGGGTATGTCTCTCTGTCATATATATTTGCATGATATATATATATATATATATTCAGAGTTGAGTTCAATATGTATGCACTGCTCAAGATATATAATGTATGAATGGTGCGTGCAGGTACCATAATCATCAGTACGTTGAAGCAGCAGAAACATCCAATAATGCTGCTTCCAAGGCCATGGCTGCTGAAACTAACTTCATGCAGGGATGGCTTCTCTGACCCCCTCACCCCCAACACATATATATATCATCGCTTACTCAATATGAACAATACATTTGGGTTTTATATATGCATATGATTGTGAGCATTATATATATATATGCATCTTCTTCTGGGACTTGATTTGGAAGCTCGTGCAATGGACTTCATCAATATATATAGATAGCTTCTCTTCTGAGTAATAATTCAAATATATATATACATATGTATATATGCATGAGGGTGTATGTCTTGTTTCCTGTATATTCAAAAACTGCTTTATGTGTGCTTCAGCAGAAACAAGAATGACAAAAATGCAGGATGCTAAATCTTCAGAGCGTCCAATACTTCCATTATCTTGTTAGCAGCTCCCATATGCTAGATTATATTATCCCACCCATGCATATGGAGCATTCGACTTTTTCTTTTTTTTTGAAAAAAACAATTTCTCTAAATTTTACTTTAGAAATAATTTTCATCCTTCTTTTAGTTCAATTTCAATATTCCTACAATTTACTGCAACTGTTTTGATTGAAATTCATCAGCAATTTACATTTCACCTACCCTAACTAACAACGTTGCGCAAAAACTACGGTCTGTGCTCCTTTTATTCCCCGAGTTATTTCTCCTGTAAAAAAAAAAAAAGCATATTAAGAAACAAGGGTTAATTAATCTGCAAGTCCTTATAGTTTTAACGAATTTTGAATTAAGTCCCTATAGTTTTTTTTTTCTTTTTATTAGGTCCTTATACTTTTACCTTTTTTTTAATTAGGTCCTTGTATTTATTTCTCTTTTAATTAAGTCCTTATAATTTCACTAAATTTTTAATCAGGTCCATGTAGTTTTAATTTTTATTTATTAATTAAATATAAGCTTAATTAAATAGATTAATACTGAAATATAAAATATTAATAATTAAATTAAATTAATAATTATGTAATAAAAAAGTAATAGAATTAATTAATTCAGGAAAATTTTTTAGAACAATTAATTTTTTTGCTGAAAAAATTAAAATCATTATAATAATTCAATATCTTTAGAATATTATTGTTTATAAACTAATATTAAATAATATATACTATTTTATGTTTATATAATAGTACTATTAGAATTTATAAAATAAAGAATAAAAAATTCAGGGACTTAATTAAAAATAAGATGAACTTATAAGGACTTGATAAAAAAAATAAATAAAAGGACCTAATTAAAAATAGGTGAAAGAATAAGGACCTGATAAAAAAAAAATATAAGGACCTGATTCAAAATTAGTTGAAACTATAAGGAGCTGTAGATTAATTATCCCAAGAAACAAGAAAAATTAAATAAATATTAATATACTATTTTCCGTTTTCCTTGATCTGCGTCCCGCCACTTTTCACGTAAGTCCTCCTAAAAATTAATGTAACAAATGGGAATAAACAAAGGAAATACTGCATCAACGACAAAATAAATTAAAATAAAATATTTAAAAGTTGACACAATAAAAAATGAACTCAGATAATTGAAAACGGTCCAGACTGAAATGGACGACTCTCTAATTAGCGTAAAAAAAGACATAAATATCATTAAAAATAGGGATTAATCAGTCAAGCAAATTGTGGATTTATCCAAACGAGCGACCAATTGACTGTGAGAAAGGAAATATGTTGTCATCAATAAATTAAGGAAATACTATCTCTGGTTCTTAATATAAGATTTTGTTTGACTTTTATTTTGATCCTAAATACTCCTCCGGTCCTTATTATAAGACCCAATTTGACTTTTTATTTGGTCCTAATTATAAGACCCAATCCATTTTGTCTCTTATATTTATGCATTTTTTTCCAAGATAATCCTTCTAATAATGATAGTTTTAGCCAATATACTTAATTAGCAAGGATATTTTAAGAATGACAACACTTATTTATTATAAATAACCAACTTAACTTACTTCCTTAATCTCCTCAAATAAGTCAATTGGGTCTTATAATTAGGACCGGAGGAGTATAATATCACAATCTACTTTGTCTGTCATATTTATACATTTTTTTCTCAAAGTAGTCTTTCTAATAATGGTAGCTCTAACTAATACACTTGATTAGTAAAGTTATTTTAGGAAAGACAACATATATTTATTACAAATAACTAACTTAACTTCTTTCATTAATCTCCTCAAATTAATCAACTAGTTCTTATAATTAGGATCGAAGGTAGTAAGATAATTACTGAAAGCCACAAAAGGAAAGGTGACGTTGGAATTTGAATCACAAGCAATGAAAAGATATGCACAAGAAATGAAGATAGGAGAACACTCATATGGTTCTATTTATACGTCATTTTTTTAACATGTTTCACACAAATTAAAAAAAAATCTTAAACCTTATAAACTCTTATTTAAAATTCAATAACTTTCAACTTTATTCTTATTTAGTATACATTATACTTCATATAAACAAAGTCAACACAATAATAAATAAAGAGTAAAATTGCACATTTATAGGAAAATTTTTTTTCTCAGCGATAATTTTCTTTTCAACGGAATCCTTCGCAACTCGCAATCAACTGACTGAGACTAAAGGATTGCACACATTAAGTTGGTGAATAAAATAAAAACAATTAATTTGCTTTTTTCTCGAATTAATATATATATTACATTCTGGCAAGAAAGTTCATTCGAGTTTTATATCTAACTATCTAATTTGTTCGGTCTTCTTTTGTTTTAGGAAAAAATTGATAATAATTCATTTAATTAATTAATGCAATACATTTTCGATTCGAATTCGAATTTCAGGAAATCAAATCGCGTCTTCTACTACAAAATAAAATCTTCCTCTAGTCACGAAGCAAACTATTCAATAAATTGCTGTATATTTCTTTCAGTAATGACTCACGAGGTGTTGAATGATTTAAAATTTAAAACGAGACAAACAAAAAAGGGATGAAGAAATACACAGAGAGGGAGGGAGGGAGACTCAAAGTTTGGGACGATATGGATATGCAACACAGTTAGGTTGTATAGTCTTAATATAAGATGTAATTTGTGTGGTTTAATTTAAATTATAAACTAGATTTTATATTAAAGGACACGAGGTAGCATTTTTTAAGAAAATATACAACAATTCGTTGGGTTGTTTATGTGGGAATGGGAAATAAAGGGAGATTTTATTTCTGTAATGTTAGACGTTCAGTTTCCTCAAATGAAATCTTCGTATCATTCTAGAAAATGAACCACTGACAATTTCGACAGCTGCTCATTAGATTTATATCATTGCTGAAAATTAAATTGGATAGTAATTTAATTCATCTAAGTAATATCCCTTAAATTTAAGGAAAAATTACGCACAAGTCTCAAATAACAGAAATTACTATTAAAAGGTCTTGTAAAATCCTCAAACAACTAGGAAGTCCCGAGGGACCTGAGGGTTAAAGATTCAAAATGTCCAATTACTATTTGGTCCTTAATCACTTGAAATAAAAAATGAATCAAAAAGTATAGGCTCCGCTCATTCGCACAAAGCTCTTGGTGACTCTGACTCTCGCTCGTCACTACTCGTCGTCATCACTAGGCTCCTCTTGGTCGTTGTGGTCCCTATTCCCCATCGCACCTAGTTGTCACCGATGTGAGATAAGCTGGTAGGTATATATCACAGTTTTCTCTACCAATGCGAAAGACAATATATCAAGGGCGTGTATTAACAACCCAGTCGAAAGCTGTTGACAAGTTAGGTAATGTCTATTGACAACTGACCTTAGAGGTTAACATAACCTCCACATAAGATCAAATTATAACCAAATACTGTCATGTAACAACTTTAACGCTAAAATAGGAAGTTGTTAAATACCATTAACAATTTTAATTAGACCTAATAGGATTATAGCAAAATTTTGTTGCAGACAGCCATTAACAGCCTCAATAGCACGTATTAACAAACCAATGGGAATTTGTTGAGAAGTTAGGCAATTTCCACTGACAACTGACTTTATGGGATAACATAACCTTCACATAAGATCAAATTGTAACCAAATAGTATCATATAACAACTTTAACGTTGAAATGAAAAGCTGTTGAAAGCCATTAACAACTTTAACTAAGCATAATAGGATTATAGCAAAATTTTGTTGCAGACAGCTATTAACAACCTCAATAGCGTGTATTAACAGCCCAATAGAAATTTGTTGACAAGTTAGGCAGTGTTTGTTGGCAACTGACTTTATATGATAACATAACATCCACATAAGATCAAATTATAACCAAATAGTATCACGATTTTAATGCTAAAATGGGAAGTTGTTGAAAGCCATTAACAATCTTAACTAAACTTAATAGGATTATAGCAAAATTTTGTTATAGACATTCATTAACAACCTCAACAGTGTGTATTAACAACCTAATAAGAATCTGTTGCCGAGTTAGGTAGTGTCCACTAACAACCTACAACCTCAAATCCAAATCACACGTTGTGAAGGTTGTTAGTGGCTGTCTAAATTAAGTTACTGATATAAAACCATCATTTCGTCTACTTTCAGCGTTGCATGCTTTCTTCATACTTATAAAGTTAGTTGTCAGCGTACACTACCTAACTTATCAATAGATTGTCATTGGATTGTTAATACATGCTGTTAAGGTTGTTAATGGCTGTCTGCAACAAAATTATACTATAACCCTATTGGGTTTAGTTAAAGTTATTAATGGCTTTTAACAGCTTTCCATTTTAGCGTTAAAATTGTTACATAATACTATTTAGTTGTAGTTTAATCTTATATAGAAGTTATGTTATCCTTTAAGGTTAGTTGTCAGCCGATACTGTTTAACTTGTCAACAGCTTCTGATTGGATTGTTAATACACGTTGTTAATGTTGTCTTTCGCATTGACAAAGAAAATTGTGATATATACCAATTAGCTTATCTCACATTGGTGACAGCTAGGTGCAATTCGGAATAGGGACCACAACGACCATGAGGAGCCTAGTGATGACAACAAGCGGCGACAAGCGAGAGTCAAAGTCATCGAGAGCATACACTTTCTGATTCATTTTTGGTTTCAAGTGATCAAGGCCAAAATAGTAATTGGATATTTTGAACCTCTAACCCTCAAGTCTCTTGGGACTTCCTAGTTACGGGACTCTTTACTAGTAATTTCTATTACTTGGGACCTGTGGATAATTTTTCCTAAATTTAAACCCCTAAGCTCAAATATTAGGTTCACTGGGCCAAGCTTATCCGTTGATAACCCAAGCCCACCACATTGCACGTGCGAAACGAGGCCCCTTCTAGCTTCTGCGACCATGGGGCCGAAGGTACGCAATCTATCATTAGGTTTGTAGGCATAAACATTCTGGGCTAGCATATTACGTATCTTCTCTCAGCTTCCTCAATGTTCAAGTATAGTCATTTCCCGTTCAAGGCCTACTTGCACCAGACAGTTCGAGATAATTCAGACCAACCGTATACAGGTTTTGAAAACCCCAAATTATTGCTATAAATTATTTGCTTCGTAGTTTTTTATAATCTGCTTTCACTAAATAACCCTGCATCTAAACAAGTAGAATGAGCCTTGACACACCCACGCTCAAATATCAAATACCCTCACCTTTTATAGCCATCATTTCGATTCTGACATCACTTTCACCATAATTTCTCCTACAACTTGTATACCGATACAACATGCACTTGATATAAAGAATAACCCAAACAAAAACTAGTAATTCAATGGTGCTTGCACTATCACAAGAAGCAACATTTGGAGACCCCAAAATATTGTCAAAACTCATTTTCTCAGTAGTTTATGTATGGCTTTCGCGGCGTGCCCTTTTGTATGTGTCGTAAACGGTGATCCTAAGCGCACGCCCCAAGCACCACATACAATTGACATGATGAATAACTCGTACAAAACTATTAATCATCGGACTGAGCAAATAGACCACACCACAAAACACCCAAAAAATGTCATCATTTACCAGTAGATAGTTCTTGGATAATGTTCTAAAACGTCAAGGAAAGTAGTACAAATATACAATGTGCAAGATACTGTAGATTACAAGGCATGAGCAATGTCACGAAACAAAATGGCAATGTCACTTGCATAGTCGTCATCACCATTATTACTTATCCCAATGAGACAGACAGACAGAGACATTTCTGATGTACAATGCTGAAAAACAGTTGGGGCTTGCCCTTATTTTTTCCTATATAATATTTGCAGAGGTAGGGTTTTAAAAATTTTCAACTAGACCTTGGAGGTAGAGGAGGCAAAATGCTTCGTCTTGCTCTGGTTTCTGGTAATCCAATGAATAGCTCAGTTTCCACCTCCGAACTTGGACTGCTTTCTGCATAGGGTTGGCTTTCTCTCTGCTGCTCACCATTTGTTTCTTGCTGTGGCTGTATACCACACTGCAAAGGAATATCAATTCAGTTTCATGTTTGATATGTAGATTATTGGATACATCCAGGAAACGAGGAGGTGAGTATAAATAACTCTTATGCTTCTGCTAAAAAAAAGCATGAAAAAGAAAAGATAATTGAAGCGAGGAAGTTAAAAACACATAAGAGATGGTATATTTCATTAATTGAATTGAATTTAGCAAAATCCCGAGTTCAAAGAAGAAAATCACATTGAGAAAATTCTCCCCAAATAAAGGTCAACTCGGCTCAAATTTCAGATACTATATGGTTTGTCACCAAAGAGTAATTCTTTATGTGAGAATACCGGGAGGTGAGGCAAATGATTTTCCCATAAAGTTTGGCCTAAATCATGAATCATTCTTGGATCCTTATTTATTTGACTAGGTTTAGGACATTTTGACCAAGCGCGTTCAAGAGGAAATCTCAAGTGTATATTCTTTACAAATAATATAGTCCTGTGGGGTCAAGAAAACAAGGTTAACCCTAAACTCGAGTTATGAAGATAGACTTTGGAATTAAAGGGTTTCTACATGAGTAGAAGTAGGATGAAATATATGCGCAGTGTGTGCAACGAAAGCAAGTTGGAAACGGTTTGAAGGTAGAAGTTAAAGATCAAACCATACCATTAATATTTTGGTTGAAAAACAAAACACACAAGTGTCAAAAAACAGGCATCTACGAGGCAATGAATCAGTGGGGATATTATGCATAGGATACAAGATGGTTGGTTGAAATGAAGAAAAGCATTAGAAGTCATTTGTAATCACAAACTACTTACTAAGCTCAAAGAGAAGTTTTATTGAACTACCATAAAACCAGCAATATTATGTAGTAGTGAATCTTCAGCATCCAAGGAATAACAAGAGCAAACAATTAAGATAGCAGAGATGATGTTGAGAAAAAGATAATATTTGTTTTAACTGGATATGAGGAAAAGTCTGTAGAGGAAAAAATGGTAGAAAATCATTTAAGGTGATTTGGATATGTGCAAAGATATTGACGTGCCGATGAAGAGGGTTGAGCATTTAGTCTTTAGCTTTAGAGGCAGAGGAAAGCCAAGAAGGACACTCAAGAAGGTTATCAAATTGAACCCTAAACCCTAAATAATATATTAAAAAAATTGATTTTTAGTAGAGTATGGTAACGTCCTGCTATCCATATAGCTGATTTTCACTTAGTGAGACACATAAGACTTGTTCTGGTGGTAATTGCTTGTGTGTTAGAAAGGATCCCTTTTTCCCTCCCAATAACATATAGGCCTTAACGACATGATTGAAAAGATGGGATTGGGTGGAAACAAAATCTAGAATCATATTTTAGATGGTAAATAAGAGTGAGGTGAAGGGAAATCTGCACGTTCTCACAGGACTCGTTTGAAATATATATTACTTGAATCAGTCGGATGCATAGTAAATCAATAAAATCTGCCAAAGTGGATCGTAGGGTCCATTGTACCAGCTTGGACAAGTTTTCATTGGCTTCTTAAACCGGTTCCCAAGTATTTATTCATCATGTGTGGCTTAAAAAGGGATGATGACAGTGTCAAGTTCACGTGATTTATAAAGAAACTTCCCAAGTCCTGATAAATTAGAATACCCACGCGCCAAACATCAAAACATGCATCTTCTGCCATAAAAGATGATATTTGAAATCTATACCCACTCCACTCCATTGGTTACCTGGTAACTTCTAAACAATAAGGAAGAGGTTATAAACTTATCACCGCTCTTTTCCCTCATCTTTCAAACAATGAAGTGAGAACTCTCCCTCTAGTTGCTCTTAATTCATTTTCCTCATTATTTCCAGTAAAGTCCAAAAATTTCTAGGTGATTAAGAACAACTTTTTCAGTTTGCTATCAGAAATTTCAAATCATAATTTTTCATTTAGAAGAACTAAAATATAATTCCAAATAAGTTTCGAACGGCAACGACAGGGTGATTTCACCTTCTCATAGAGCCTTGCATTTTCAGCTTCTAAGGCTTTTTCCTGAAAGAAATTCAGAACATGGTTTCAATGACCAGAACTCGTGAAAAAAGAACAAGAACCTATCTTTTCTTGGCAAGTGTCATGAATCCAGATTGATATGGAAGAAATCAAGTACAAAACGTGAAGAGTTCAAATTGTACAGCTTCTTTTCTTCTGCAATTTAATTTATAGAGGGAAAAAAAAAACTCGAATGCAGTAATTTAGGTTTTCTTTATCAAGCTCTTCAATAAAAAACATGCTAATCCAACCCAGCGACATATAATAAAATTATATAAAGATCTTGTTTACGTATCATAATTTTGTTACAAAACCTACATTTGATAATGAACAATTCAAAACACCATCTAAACTTCGTCCTCTCTCATATCACGTACGAGAATAATCAAGCGAACAGAAGTCATTAACGTTCTTAACCTCCTTGTCTATATATCACACACACACAGAGACCGGGAAAGCTTACCTTTGCTATTAGTTGCTCGATTTGTTCGTTGTAAACCTGATTCTGAGAAGTCGAAAGAATGAATTAATACTTTTATATTTATCATTAACTTAAAAATTAAAGTACAGTAATAAAGAGTTTAGTATTGCAACCTTTCTTGCTCGAATGGTGCTCACACTCTTCTCCAACTGTTGTTCTATCTGATTTAACTCTTGTATGGAGCATGACCCTAAACCCTCCCCCAAGAGTTTCCTGAGAGGTATTTGAAATTACAAAGGCAGTAACATGCTCTTTATAGTTAGTGATATTCCACGTTTGAATTTTTTAAGAAATGTGTGAAGATACACAGAAATCTAAAAGTAGGTCTTTAACCTTTTTGAGAGCTCAAGATGCTCAATTTTCTTCATCATGCTTGCTGCTTCTTGCTTCAAATGCTGTCATACACAATAGATTCGTTTCAGGCATCAGGGTCCTTCATTAGATGCATGGAAATAAGCTACAAGTGGCTGAAAGAGAAAACTGATGGAATCCAAACAAATTAATCCTGTGCTTGGAACAGGCACTTTTAAGAGAAATTAATTTTAATTTAGAGTTTTTTTTTGGAAATACTCCATCATATAATTTTGCCTAGGCAGCTAATTATTTTACAATTTTAAAATAATTTAGCCCTAAAATTTGTTTCATCGAAGAATAATCATTTCTGATATTTTATTTTGTCTATAATGTTTTTCCTTAATTATCTTTTACTAGTTAGACTCAAATAGAATTATATCAGACTTGGCTCGAACCTAAAACCCAATGTGGATCTGCATACGGTTCATATCTTAACTCGTTATTTTTCATCCGATCTAGATTTAAATTTTCCAATTACAAAAAATGTAAAATAATAACAATCATCTAAATAAAAGAAATATAACAATTTGATCTAAATTCTCTAAATCAAACTTTAACAGTCTACGTATAAAATGTTCATTAAGCACATATTGTTAAAATAAAGCCTTTTTACAACACCTAATGATGAATAATGGTTACCTGCATATTTTGTTCACTCGATCTGTTGGCTGTTTGAGCATCCCTGGTATGCTTGCGGTAGCGTTCAATAGTCTCGTGCAAGCTGCTGCATTGAATTAAATTTCATAACACTTATCCATAAAAGGAATATAATGACCCTAACACAGTTCCATACAATAAAATGCCACAAAAAAACGTGTGAGACGGACATGAGGGGAAATGCTCTCCCATTCTCTGAGGCTTACAACATGACCTCCGGGCTCTTTATTATTATTTTTTTCCCAAGAAAAAAATGTACAAACACCATAGGAACATGAGATAACCCCAATTTTAGCCCCAAAACAACCTCATATATATTACACATGTTGTTGACTTTTTAAGGGAGGAGAAGCATTACGAGTAAAGAAGTATTATATCACCGATACTTTTGGCCCCGGGGGGGGGGGGGGGGGGAATCTCTATAGGTACTATGTACTCCTTCAGATATAAATCATCAGTCTTTCTAGGTATTCCTCATCCAGAAACAAATCACCATAGTCTTTATAGCTACTACTCTTTCAGAAAACAAATCATCATAGTCCGTATCATATTCAATCCTAATCATCCTCGACCTCCCAGTTTCAATCATTAGATAAAAGTAATTCGCGTAACTCCAGGGAACAGAAGCATTTGCATATCTATGTTGTTTATTCTAGAGGTCTCTTAAATTTTTTATTTTTTATGACATGGTCTCTAAGTGCATGTCCTGGACTGAGGGCGATGAAAGGTAATAGATAGGAAAGGGAGTAAATTTTCTATTATTTTCTCTTTCATTAACTTTCCTCAAGCCAAACTAGCTTGGCTTTAATAGAAAGAAATGCATGATTTTTTTTTTTAATAAAAGATCAAAATGGCATCAAGTAAAATGAAGAATTACACAGTTCAAACTATATAACAGCAAAGGAAATAGGACAAATAAAAAAACAAGAAAAAAGATAAAAGGATGATGCAGAAGCAGTCCAAACATGTGTGTTTGAGAAGGATTGCAGCATGGTGAGCATATCTTGGCCAACAATCGACTGAAGCTGGCCTTTAGGATGAGAGATGAATAAGTTCGCGCTTAACGCATAATTAAGTATTCTTAACAAAAGGCAATGACTAGAGCACCAGAAATGTATGATTTAAACCTATGAATCATCAAGGACGTCGAAATTAAATTGTTTACTCCTCTTCTCCTGAAATCTCCTCAATCCAAACATACCCTAAAGTTGTAAGCCCCATAGGACGTTGGCCTTCACCATCAACAGATATTATTGAAGAAAAGGATGTTGCCCAATTTATAATTAATAAATTTCACAGAGGAGGTATTGAGGGATAATGAGCCATATTAAAAAAAAAAAAGACATTTTGACAACGACACTTGGTTTATGGATTTATTTATTTTTATTTATAATAATTATGCATGTCCCATGCACGCGGAATTTCATACTTTTGAAGTGTGGGGACGTCCAATGACCTAGGGAAATTATGATAATTTAGGCTTGTGAAGATTGCAGATTATAATATCTAAAATGACAGAACATGTCCACGTTCATTAGATGGGTTGTAGTTAAAAATAATCAGAGTTTGGAAGCGAGAAGCAAAGCTATCCCATGAAGCATAATTTGAAGTTCACCCCGAAAAATCCACACACACACACATTATGTCCAGTCCTTAATGTAAAAGTTACTTAACTAATTTGAGTAGATTAAGAAAGTTTGTTAAGTTAGTTGTTTATAATAAATATGAGTTGAATTCCCTAAATTATCCTTCTAATCATGACTGCCTTGGATAGAAACCCCCTTAATATGTACTACTACAATAAATAGGAATACTTTAGAGAATGAATTATAAATTTGGAAGACAGAGTGAATTGAGGCCTCATATTTAGAACCAAATACAATTCCCATTTAACTCTTATATTAAAGACTAGAGGTAGTATATGACTGACTACAAATGAAGCTTACAATCTTGCTTCTTTGCTTAACATTATAATCCAATTGTTAGAGTGAACAGTCTAATAATGTAGTAGACTCAAATAAGCTGGCGAGTATAACAATAAATTAGCATTGACAGTAGTAATAATAAGTTTTCAGTGTAATTTATATACTACTTGCTTCAGAGTTGCTTCGCAAATGAATGCTACCACAGGGAGAAGTTGTACCAATGTACGCTATTGATTTAACAATAGCTGAAACTTATCACACTTTAAAAGCTTGACCATCTCACTAAGGTTTGATTGTTACCATATGGTCAGATCTGATCATACTAAATTCAATCTTGATTAATTATTACTCTCTCCGGTCCTATTTATAAGCTTCAAATTTGAAAAGAGATGTGGTCCATTTTATAAGCTTCAATTTGGGATTTGTCTTGACATTTAATGCATTTTTTTCATTTTTGCCCTTAATTATTTATTCTCTTTCCTTCATTATAGTCTGTCTTGTCACATTTCTCCACACATTCTCCTTCATCTTTTTTCTCATTTATTATAAAGACATATTTGGAAACAAAATTATATTTCTAACCTATTTATTGCTTCTAACTAATTTTAACTAGCAGTTCATTATCCATGAATTAATTATTTGAAACTTATAACAAGAACCGGAGGGAGTATTTATGTAACACGGTTTTAGTTTTTTATTTGTATTTGTGTATCTGTATCATAGTCATCAATATATACCATAAAAGTTGGATGCTTTGCATTGTGACTCTTACTCCTGTATCTCTTGGATTCTTTTTTGTTTTTTAACAAATATTCCTTCAATAAGTAGGCTGTTCTAGTTTGAGTTCATATTTTGTCACAATGACTTGGGTAAAATTTAGAATTAAACCTTGATACTAAATAAACAAGTTTGAGTAATTTGTTGAGTCTATATTAAATTCATCCCTCATAGGCACCCGCCTAGGGTTTCAACTTGAGCCACACCAACTGCAGTTATGATTACCAGATGAGTCATGGACCAAATCAATAACTAAGTTCAATATCAACCATGACAAATGACAAAGAATTCATGAGGGTTTCTTATATTTAGGACTGGAGGTAGTCGCTAAACATTGAAATTGTGAATCCAGAAACCCAAAGAATCATGAAATTAAATAACCTTTTTTAAGGAAGCTTCGAATTACCTTTAATTAAATCTATACTACCTCTAATTCATACCCATTTTATTTTAGTTAGTACATATATCAAAGCTGTAATTAGAGTTTAGATTGAACTCATTAATGTAACTATGAACTAGTCAAAGATTCGTTGTCGGAATTGGGATGATCAAAGCGAGAGAAAAATGTTGAGCCATCAAGCTGTTATCATATGATCTAGAAAGACAAATATGGACCATTAGGAGATTTTATCCAGAAGTGATACTGCAGTAATTGCAAGAAATTGCAATATCATGTTGTAATAAAAATGGTCACATGCACCCCAGTAAGAAGGAATAGAATGAGAAAGACAAGGACAATAGAGGTAGGTATCTTCCAAAGAAGCATCCAAAGCAATGAAAGTTAAAGGTGGGTTAGCTATTATAAGATTCAAATTTTAAAGGGTATAGAGACCTCAACTTGACAGAAAACAAATGAGAAGTACAAGTTTTCTGGTTCATAATAAACAAACACGCAAACACTAGTATTGGGAAGAGGTTATGTGTCCTTTGGTTTGATTAAAAATTTAAAACTGTAGAAATGACAGTGCACACTATTTCATGGGACATCACTTTTGTTGTCTCTGGGCTCAAATATTAGTTGGACAAAGCTTTACTCACATCGTTGGTCGCATGCAATGTATATCAAAAAATAGTTTTTTGAAGATATTAGTAATAGTAATGGCAATAGTAATTCTGATTTGACTCTACTTTCCCAGACCACGAAAAATTTAGTGTCTTTAATGTACAAGACGATTGCTACACGAGGCATATGATCCTGCGTCTCAAGTTGTTATCTAATCATGTCGGCGAGTAGTTCACGCATAAAAAGAATCTATGGTACGATTTCCATTATCAAATTTATCTTTTCCTGTGTTTGGTTAAAGAGGTACAGGATCCTGGTTAGGAATGACCACATTCATAATAAAGATATCCTCACCTAGATATGGTTCATCTCTTTGGGAAAATCACAATTCCAAGAGTCCTTTTCAGCTGTTTGATGAACATTTTAGTTTCGTGGGCACAAGAACATCATTCTCCAAGATGTATCAAGACATACAATATATGGGGAAAAAGGGATTCTAAAATTAGTTTTGGTTGGTTTTTTATGATTACCCTTCAATGTTTTAAATATTTAAGTATAAGCCTACAAGTTATGCAAGGTCTGCGCTAAGTGGTGAGGTTAGCTTCAGAGAAACACGCACTCAATTCAGGAAGTACTGAATGTGATGTCATATTCATATAACTTCCATAATAGTGAACTGCTTCTTAGCTTCTCATAGTCTGAAAGTAACATGAATAAAACAACTATTTTTTGAGTAATAGTAGCACAGTTTCCAGATTTGCTTTATAGGTATGAAGAAAATCTGAGCTCGTGAACTCTTAACGGTGAAAAGGCACGAAGAGAAGACGCAGATTCACCACCAAACAAGTTGTGATATCATGGTTAAAAAATGGTATATACAGAAAACTAAAACCGAGGATTAATCACAGTCGTACCTGGAGCTAGCAAATTCATAAAGCTTGCCTCTGGGAGAGAAGATGATGAGGGCAACCTCGGCATCACAAAGCACTGAGAGTTCAAAGGCCTTCTTGAGCAGCCCATTACGGCGCTTTGAGAAGGTCACTTGCCTGCTCGTGGCGTTCTCTATACGCTTCATCTGGGTCTTCCCTCGTACCATCTCTACCTCTATTTCTCTGTGAATACTGAATCCTTGCCCAGAGAAAATATTCACACATGGATCAACCATAAATGTCTAGAAATATAGAGGAACCTGTTAGCTCATAATAGTCAGAAAAACAATAAAATACTACTCACCCAGAAAGGTGTAGAGAGGAAGTAGTGGATTTCAGCAGATCCGAGCCTTTCCCTACCTAGAACTTGAAAACTCCAGCAAGCTAAAACATGAAGGAAAATGCATCATATTGGTATTTGACATCTTGTTTTCGGCCAACATATTAGTATTTTACACATATATCAATGAGAAACCCAAAAAGAACTCTGCGAGAAAATACCATGACAGGGAAAAAAAATCCGAAAGTCAAGCTAAGGAGAGACCAAGCTTTTCAAAACCAGCTAACAAAAGCGAAATCCATTAAATAATCTCCCAAGTCCCTTTCAGAGAAGGAACTAAAGCAAGCAAAAATCTAGGTAGAGAAGCGGGTTTTGATGATAATTACTCACCGGCCAGAAAAAGCAATTAGTTAAATTTCAAGAAACAGCTAGTTCTGAGAAAATTCAAAGCGCGGGCGCGTATGTATGGCCAAGAAAAGTAATAAGAGATTTACAAAAAAAGGAGCAAATAAGAACCCAGAAATGCTCAGAGGAAGGAAAGAAGGAAGGAAGGAAGGAATAAATAGCGGGGTGCACAGAAAAGGAAAGAAGACACAAGGGAAACAGGCAGGAGACCCCCGATAGAGTGCAGAGAACCCAGAATGGGAATGGCTAGAGAGAGAGAGAGGAGAGAGGGGATGGTGTAAATGGCAAAAGCAAAGCAAGTTCGGACTTTTATGAGTGCATTGACTTATATTGACTAATTGATTCCTTTTTTTCCCCATCAATGGACATAATATTTGTCAAAATCATCACAACACACCTTGAAATTTACATTTAATTATATTCAAAAAGACATGATAAGTGTAGTAATTAAATATAAAAAATATAATTATATTGTAGGATTACTCAGGTTCCAAATATATATAAAGCAGTAATATATAATATATATATATATATAGACTGTTTAGAGGAGGAAAGGAGGACACAGAATCAACTTTCCATATTGATACATCGCTATATTGCACCTTGCAACGGAAGGCATCAATGCCCCCACCATAATAAGAAACAAAGCGTATAATAGGAATGCTTTTTCCAAACCCCTTTCTTTTCTTGTTTTGGTAATTCCCCAGTTTACTCACTTACTGTCAACCCACAAAACCTATGTTTCCCCAACACTCCACGAAAATGATACTCCAGCCCATGTTTTTTTCCATAAGAATAATAATAATAAATAGTAATTAACTACTGCTACTCGTTTTGGGTCGGTCAACCGCACGCAATCCTTGATTTTTTCTCGGAAGAGCGAAGACTTTGGATCGATCGCTCTCGTTGCCTTTTTATCATCTTAGAATTCTTCCAATTAATTATATATGAGATAAAATCACTTTTTTTTTTTTTTGCTACGCTTTATGCATAGCCTGTTTTCCTAAATACCCAACGCTGAAAACCCATCATAGGTAAAGTAAACAAGCCTCGCATATGACTTGTAAATATTATTGACTAATGGGTCTTCGTGATTTGGTCAAACTTTGAAGATGATGAATCACATTGAATTGCTTGTTAAAATATTGACAGAAAATAACATATATATATATATATGATCTGGCACTTATTAAGGGGGTGTCTGAAAAAAGCGAGAATCAATTATTGAAAAATATTAGCGGTTGAGATAAAACTCAGATTACGTATTTAAACCAAACGTTGTAAACTAATTCAAATATTATTAGCATGCAATTTATGGGAATCAATCAAGACGATGAAGTACAGTCCAAAAAAAAAATCAAGACGATGAAAGTAAAGAGGAGTGGGGTAATGATTGTATCAGGGGAGGAAAAGGGCGAGGAGTGAGATATTGTGGGGAGAAGAAAGAGAAGAAAGGAAGGGAAGGGTGGGGGACGGGGGAAGATAGAAAGACGTCAACATCGGTCCGTACAAGAGGGTACACAAGTGACCAATCAGAAATCGAAAACGCAACATCCTGTCATCATTGCTTTTTGGTGTCCTGTGGCGCTCAGCTTTTGGCCCTTTTTTCCCGGGGCCCACCCATCATCCCCCCACAATAATGTGACTATGATTCATCATCTCTAATTTACGCGTCTGCATCTGTTGGTGAAATTGGTAATATGAAATAATCTACTATTTTAAATAATTGTACACAAACTAAAATATTTAAATTTTATTTTCAAGGAATTATGACTGTGCATTTTTTATAAACTAAATGCTTCCCTATTATGTGAAATCGAAAGGATAACTATTCTCTTCTAATCATTATTATAAAAATTATTTAACTAATTTGAATATATTAAATAAGCTATTTAATTATAAAAATATGATCTAATCCTCCTATAATATTTATTAAGATTATATATCAATTTATAAAGTTAAATAAATAGTTTCAAACAAATAATAAATATTAGAAATAAAATGAATAAAAATCTTATATTTAACGTTAAGATCAGCTTTTTAACTAGTTCACGTAATCAGGATGGGAGGAGTATTGCTTATAACTCAGCCAGGACTTCTAATTTCCTTTCACTTCCCATCGCATCTATCAGATCAGATGTGAATGGCTAAAATTGAATGTTTCTTAAACTATTGTTATAATACTCTTCCACCCTTTAATATAAAATATAATTAATTAATTTAAACGTATTAAAAATATTAATTAAATTAATTAATAGGATTTTTTTAAAAATATTATAATCATTTTTCTTAGTTCCTTTCCTCCGTCATTCCCTCACTTAATTATTATTGAGAGAATATTTATATAGTTAATTTTTTTAAAAGAATTGATGAACGTATTAAATATGTTTTATATATAGGACTAATATTAAGTCTCAAATTAGATCCTATATTAAAAATGAGAGGAGGGTTAATTAACTAGCAGAAAAAAATATTTGAAAATAAATGCAGTTTGTCCTATGAAATTGGTGATATAATGTAAAAAGAAAATTACAATGAGATTTCAAAGAAATAAAGTAATCACTAGTCTTAATAATAAGTGAACAGTTACTATTTCTTGTAATAAAACTTGTCATTATATATTGTTCTATTATCATTAAAAAATTTTAGCAATTATATTTTTTTCTTAAAATTTCATAATAATAATTCTTCCTTAGGTAAAACGAGTGCATATATGGCGTATACAGCTCGACCCAGGAGTCATCCCGGCATATCATATGTAATGGAAAATGCAAGTTATTATGAAAATATAAAATATATTAATCATGTTCACTGTAATAATAAAGCCACTTTGATTCAAGGCGCAGGTGATTGCATGGAGCGTAGCATTGTGATTCGCGAAAAGTTTGGAGTGCTAGATGTATAGATGGGATTGGAAGGAGTGGAGATAGATGGATAGATAGAATCGAAGGAGAATTTAGTTCAACAATAATGAAATGCTAGAAGGCATAACAAATAATACTACCTCGACCAATTACTTAATTAATTTTAGTATGTTAGAAAAACTAATTAAGTTAATTATTTATAATAAATATATATTATTTTTTTAAAATTATCTTTACTAATCAAACATACTTATTTATAACAAATAGTTATTATCTTTTTTAAAATATCATTATTTACTAATTAAGTGTTAATGTATACTAGCTAGAACTATTATTATTATTATATTATTAAAAATTAGAGGTAATAATAAGAAGCAAAGTAGCGTCGATAATAGTAATGACGGCTTCTTCTCCCGTCGAGCCTTTCGCTCCGCCGCCGCCCGTTCAGAATCAAAAGTGATCCATTTTCTATCCTCCAGGACACCAAACAAACAGAGCAGGTGCCATCATGAAAACTCAACTAATTTCCTTCGATTTCGTTAATGTGGTTACAAGTAATAATTTATATAAAAACTATGGAGGGCTAGAGTGAGCACTCCCTCCTCCCTAAATACTATACCTACCTAGCTGGCATACACTATGGAGATCATTACTAAAGTTGGTTGTGTCAAACTGTCAATGTGTTTCTTCCCCCTTTCCGACTTCAACCCCTAATTGAAAGTTTTATGACGGAGATACATGCAAAAGTATGTTCACTCATTTATAATACAAGGCACTTTTAATTTATTTATTAAAACTAACAACTCCTTAAATTTATCTTAAGTTGTAAAACTTTTTAACTTTGCCCATATTAAATTAGGTCTTAAAAAGAAAAAAATATAAAAATTATACTCTTCTGATCTTTAATATAAGATCTATTTAACTAATTTGATTAAATTAAAGAAGTTAGATAAGTTAGTTAATTTATAATAAATATGACATTTTTTTTTCTAAAACACTATAATCATTTTTCTTAATATCCCCTCTCCTTCACTTACTTGATTATGATTGAGGGAGTATCTATAGGGTTAATTTAAGAAAAACTGATAAATATAATAAATAGGTATTATATTTAAGACCAAAATTAACTTAAAAACTAGGTCCTGTATTAAAGACCGGAGAAGTATTTAAACATTAATTACCAAAATAAACCCAGTAAATAATTATTCTGACTTTTATTATGGAGAAAAAGAAATATCATAAACCATGCTAAAAATTCGAACAAGGCATCATAAAAAGAACCCTTAACAGGCTTCAAAAAGTTGGGTAACCTATACATTTTGAGACAGGGAAGCACTGTACTGTTAAAGATTGTAGGGAGTAATACGCAAGATACAGCTAATAGTATTGCGCCAAAAAAAAAAAAGGTCAAAGGTATTTCCTAATCTTAAAATATAAGTAAAAAGCACCCTCGATCATGCGTGTTAAGTATTTCAAGATTAATATAATTTTTAATCCTTTAAATCTATTCTCATTTTGGTTTTAGTCTTTCAAATTTCAAACCATAAGTTTTGGTCTCTCAAAAGATAAAACGGTCCAAATTTTTATTCGATCATAGGGATCAATGCTATACATGAAAAAAACTGAAGGATCAAAATATTTAAAATTTGAGAGACCAAAACTAAAATAAAAGCAAATTTAAGAGATCAAAGTTTATATTAACTCAATATTTAAATACATGCATGCTTTCCATTTTTCCCGACTAAAGAAAAAAAGTAAATAATAAAAGTAGTTGGACTTGACCGTGATAAGTATTATTAAACGAGTAAACATTATGCAACGGTATTTATAAGAAAAAATTTCAAAAGAAATGATTATTGAATTTCAAAATTCCAAATCAATATTTATTACTACACCAATAAAGAAAATGATTACAATGACAACACATTTTTTATTATAATTTCTGATTTAGAATTTTAAAATTCAACTTTTATTTTTTTTATTTTTCCTGATTATAACCACAGTAATTTACTGCACAATTATACAGGGAAATTACCGCTTTTAGTAACTTTTCATCCTCAATGTGAGGTGCTCTGTCCGCTCCATAATATAAAAAGTTGATTGGAAAAAAATGTGGATCAAAATATAAAATGTTATGAGGATAGTTAATTTGATTTTTTCACCTTTGCTCCTAATATTAAACATGAGAGAGAGATGAGAGATACTAAAAGCATAATATTAAAGGCAATTTTATTATTTCGTAAGGATAAAATAAGAAAATTTTATCATTTTAGGACACATTTAATGACTAGACTTCTATTTCTTGATGCATGATAAATGTTAACTAACTTTTTATATTATGGACATAATATTGAAAAACAGATTAGA